ATATATATATATATATATATATATATTGTCAACAAATATATTTATTTAATTTCTAGATAGATATAAATATAGTCGATACCTGATAGGAACAAAAATGAATCACAAATTTCATATTTGTTAAATATTGAATATGAAGATAAATAAAAGATACAAACTTAGGAATAGAGATGATGATATTGTAATTTTCATTTGTCCCCCCCTAATAATGTGTTATTAAATGAAAATGTAAAAAATCTTGATATCATTGAAATTAATTTTTTTATATTAATTTTACTATCTTATATGAAACATGATTTTGTAATCAGTAATTACTTGATGATTTTTTTTAAATATTAATTAATTATTTATTATTTTGAAAAGTTTCTTTTATATTGAGATTTGTTTCTCCTTTTTCATATTTCAATTTTTATTTTAAAATTATTTTTTTGCATTAAATTTCATCTTCTCATATTTTAAAGGTTAAATTATACTTTTGATCCTTTATCTTATTTTTAAGATTTTTTTAAAATATTTATTTGATCTCTTAAATTTGAGTTATTTGATCATTTTAAAACAATGATAGTTTTTAATTTTGAGACTTACTTTTAAATCTTTGTTTGACCGCTAATTTATAATTTGAAACTTGTCTCATTATATTTATTTAAAGAAAAAATATTAAATATAATTAAAATTAAAAAAGTGTCATAAATATGATAAAAATTACATAAAAATAAGTAAAAAAATAATTTTTTTAAATATTATTTTCAAATTATTTGTAAAATATATAATTCATACAATTTTCATTATATTTATGTTGAGAATTAACATATTTGATTCCTACATCTATGAATGCAAAATATGCACTATGTGAAAACAAAAATAAGAATAAAAGAATAATATCATAAATTTACATAGAAAATCTTTTCAATATGAGTAAAGCAAAAATAGGAGACATAGTATAGTAAAAGAATTTTATTATAAAAAGTAAGATTACAAATAGTCTTTCTTTCTCAAAAAAGAAAAAAATCACTCAAATAATCCTATTTTTTTAAAAATGATGATTATATCTCAATTCTTTCCGATTATCTCTTTTTCTCAAAGAGGAAAAAAGAGTAAATAAAGATAATTATCTATACTTATTATAAAGGAAATATGTTTTTAATAACTATATTTTAATTTTCACTTTTTTATCATACAATATTAATCTTAAATTGATACTACACAATTACAAAGGAAATAAGTTTTTGATAACGAACCTTTTGATTTTCACTTTTTTATTGGAAAATAATATCCCTAAATATAATAATTAATTTTTTTTAAAATAAATATATAAAGAGAGAAAATACATCTTTCTTCTTGTGTTAGTAAAGAATGAGAATGAAAAAAATAAAGTCAGCGGCATGAATGATTAAAATTCAACGGATGCCACAATGTCTTATGAAAAATAAAAGCAACGGTGTATGAAAAATACAAAAATGCACGTGTCTTATGCCCTTTAGTTAAGGTCCATGTAGATATCATGGCTGCTACGAAATACTAATATTACTCATTTTGTTTCTCAGTGTAACAATCTTTCCAAGGTTCACACGTGGTTCCGACCAACACTTTTGATATGATTCTTCACTCCATATTATGCGATTTCCTTCGTAGGTTTCACGTCAGAGTCTACGGACATTTTTTTTTAATGGATGGATATGGGCTATATTTAATTAGCATTTTACAGCCATTCATTTAATTTAGTTACTTCCATCTCCAAATCATAATCTTCACTTCATACACCTAACAATTATCATGTTCATGTATAAATACAACTTGATCAACCACTAATCTTCATTTAAGCTAGTTAAAGCTTTGAATGATTTACATTAATTCCCACAACATTTAGTATCTCCAACTAGTGATACCCATGAGAGAAGTTACATAAAACTTCATGCTTTAATTAGTTCACTCAAAATCTGAATTGGTAAATCCAATACCAACCCAAACAAGATGTTTAACGCATCATTAATCTCCAATCTTTAGATTGAAATGGTCAACTGCAAGTGATATTCTCAACCCAATGATATAGACACACGAAAGATTAGTAAGATAAGACACACTTAAAAACCATCTTCTTAGATTGAACAATGCAGGAAAGATAGGCACACAATTATTCTTTTAATTACTCATAATTTAAATAATCAACTAAACTTTTTAGTTAATATTTAAATCATAATAAAAAAAATTAAGAAAGATAGATCAAATCACAACGCATACATAACAAGAAAATAAATAAATAAACACTAAAACGGTCCGGCCGCTCAAAATGGCCAAACAACACCTAAAAAAAATACTGGAACCGTCATCCAACAGCTCAAGATCCTTAATCTAACAATTAATAATAAAAAAAACAACTCTTTCGCAATTAACATAAATTAAATTGTAGCACATATATTTATGACTTACATCTTAAAAAAGTTTTAATGTTATGATTTCCCAATTCATGAGCATTAAATATATATAATATTCCAAAGAAACGTTGCAAACATTTATAATATATACCATCGACAACAAAAAGTAAATAAATGAATTATATCTAAATATATTTCATTTTGCCTAGAAAAAAAAAATGAATTATATCTAAAGTCCAAAATGCATCTTAAGCAGAACCGCATTCGTTATATAACTTATAAGCATATATATTCAAATAACCATTATATATTTATAAGTAGAAACTATATATAATCCATTCGCAAATGCCATGCATATAATGCATCTAATCGAAGAAAATAAATAGTAAACATTGCCTTTATTCCAAACACATTTCTCCGGCATGAGAAAAGAAAATCAGGATCTAATCAATGAATTCTTTTACTATTTTCATCATAAAAGAAATCAACAATGGTCAAGCTACACACAACATCAATAATTCCAAAACCTCCTTCATACGATAACCATCTGGCATATAAATAAATAAATAAATAATTTTGTGTAAGCATCAAACAACAACAAATATGAAAAGTCAATAATCTAACAGTAATGGTAGCTTTCATACTGCTTGGAGGAATTTTAATTACTTTTAATATATAAAACACCAAATAAACATAAACATCACGTCAAATTATTAAGGTTATCAAGTTTTAAAAAATTCTTAATTCATAGTAGTTAATTAAGAGTAGTAGTGAAATCACAAATAATTATTCCAATCTATGAGTAAATGACTTTCTTCAATTAAATCATCCGAGTTTTTCATATGAGACTTAATATTTCTCTTTTGATGGGGGAGATTGAGAGGTCTAATCTATTTTGAGATATTGAAGACTATAATCATATTTATTATTTAATTTATTAAGGTTTTCACTATCATTTAATTAGTTAATTTGATTTCCACTCATTAAGTCCATATTATTTTTATGTTGATGATATAATGACACTAGTGGAAAAAATACTTTTAAAATCGGTCATTTTTTATTTTTAAAATTGGTTCTCTGACTGATTTTAAAACAACTGATTTTAAAAAGTGGGACTTTTAACATCGGTCAACAACTGATGTTAAAAGTCTAACTTTTAACATCGGTTATAGCATGACCGATGTTAAAAGTGGTTAATTTTTTTTTAAAATAATTGACTTGTTTTAGGAAGATCTCTGAACAAAACCTGCAAATTAATAATATACCAGACAATATATAATTCAAATGTTTTCAATGGACCAAATTACATACAAATGACAAGAGTTGGTAAATGTTAACCATATATGTAATCAAAGTAACTTATAAATTATTATGCATCCTAAACTACAAAATGAGTAAAACTATAAACATAACTCGTAGCTAGTCAATGTCTCAATAAAAAATGTAGCCCATTGCTCCCTAATGGTGTTTATATCTTCTAGCGACAATGGTGATCGATCTATAAACATTTGTTAAGAAAATTTAGAACAATTAGAAGTAACTCTTAAAACATGATAAAATGCAAACTTAAAATAATTTTTTTTAAAATTCTAAAACATACTTCAGTCCACCTAGATACTATTTGTGAATCAACAATGGTATGCATTGCCTTCATTACATAGTATCCGCACTCATAGTTTCATTTTTGCTTATGAGACTACAAAAAGAATATAAAAATCAATTTTAGTAGTAATGGTAATTCAAAAGAAAATACCTTAGAAAAAATATCATTACTAAAATAAAATAACTTACTTTAAGAGAGACCCAAAGCATTTTTTTTCAACTTTGAACCTTTAAGTATATGGTATCCTTCCATAGCCCTAATGATAAAAGGACATCATTATTATATTTTAAAATAAAATGTAATGATCAATAAAATAAAGTAGTTTTTTTTAAAATAACTTACTTATCTAATAATTGTTTAAAGTCCGCAGGAGGAGGTTTGTGCATCGAACAAATGCATACAAATATATTGTCCATAGGACAAATAATCAGAAGTTGCCAATGAGCACTGCATTGAGAAACTATCAGTAATAAACAATACATTTTTTAAAAATTTATAATCAATTATATACAAATATACTTACTTAGAAAAGTAAGGAGCTAAGTAAACTTTTTTATTTGAGTCAGACATCCAATTTTGGATGTAAGCTTGGATTTCTTCTGTCTTGTTCCCAATTTTTTGGATTAACTCGGGTTCCAAAAATCCATAAATGTGATCATTCCCTTTATCCACACTCAATTTATGGATAAATCTACAAGGTTAGAAATAAAGTTAGAAAAATGCAACAAAATATAATTAAAATTAATTCAAATACTTACAATAACCACAATTACAAAATTGATATGTTCAACATACAGTGCTCACATCATAATCAAAATCATCTTGTTTCTTTCTATATCGTGACAACCCACATCTTGGACATTGATGCAACCCTTCAAACTCACCATGATATAACATACAATCATTTGGGCACGCATGTATTTTCTTATACTCCAAACCCATAGGAAACAACACATTTTTTGCCTCGTAGTTACGATTAGGCAATGTGTTACCCTCTGGAAGCATTTCTTTCAGTAGCTCTAACAATTCTGTGAAGCTTTTATCACTCCATCCATTTCTTGCCTTCAAATTGAACAATCTTAATATCGCTGAAAGTCTTGTGAATTTTGTACAATTTGGATACAACGGCTTCTCCAAATCGTTGCACATAGTTTCGTACATATGTGCATGCTTGAATGATTCTAGACCCACATCATGAAGCATCTCCTCTAACCGATCATCCATATCTATATCTTGTGTAAATGTTTGAGTTTGAGTTTCGACTGATACACTTTGAATGTCAACATTTTCACCATGCCATATCCAACATGTATACTTCTTAAGAAATCCATCACAAAAAAGATGTTCTCTTATAACATCAAGTTCTAGGCGAGTCGCATTACAACAATTAACACAAGGACAAAAAAACCTTCTATTCATATCATCATTAGCATTTCGTATTACATATTCAATAAAATATTATACTCCAGTCTCATATTGATCACTTATACGTAATGCATGTATCCAACTTCGATTTAATAACCAACTTTTATCCATAACTTATGTTCTTCATAAAAAAAACATAGACCATGAATGTTAATCTCACTATTTTAATCATTTGTATTAAATTTCAAATGGGACTCAATATGTGCATAAATATAACATCATAGTAATTTATAAAAATCAAATAAAGCACCTAATTTTTCTAAACACTAAATTACTAAGTAGACATTAATTATATCACAAATTATTAATAAAATACAAATATATAACACATACATACAAGGTGTCTAATTTTCTAATTTGAGTACCTAATTTGTCTATATAAAGCAATGGTGAGTCAAAAAATAAATTATAAAGGTGCCCAACTTGGAACGGACCGTTCTAGGATCTGAAAAATGCCTAAAACTATAGTCTGGAACGGGCCTAGAACGGCCCGTTCTACATGCAGAACAGACCATTTTGCTTGCAGAACGGCCCGTTCCAGATTCAAATTTTGCCCAGCAACAACGAAACTAGAGACATGAAAAGAGAATGTTACCTTGATATTGTAGTCATGTAAAGAAAATGAGAAGTTAGAGAGTTTAGATGAGAGCCCAAGAGAGTAAAGAAAAGAATGAAGGGATAAATGAAAGAGAATGGAGCCAAAGATCAAAGAGAATGGAGGGGAAAGGAGAAATACTAAGTTCAGACATTTTTAACATCGGCTATTCATGAATCGATTTTGTATGTAGTTTTTAAAATCGGCTATTGAAGAGCCGATTTTAAAAATTACATACAAAATCGGTTCTTAGATAGCCGATGTTAAAAGTAGAACTTTTAAAATCGGTTATTTAAGAACCGATTTTGAAAACTACATACAAAATCGGTCTTAGATAGCCGATGTTAAAAGTAGCACTTTTAAAATCGGCTATTTAAGAGTCGATTTTAAAAGTGGCATCAGAGACCTTTTAAAATCGGTCATAAGGTAGTTGATTTAAAAAGTAATGTCATTATTTACAAAATTGTCACCGCGTCACTTTTAAAATCAGTTACCTTATGACCGATTTTAAAATCTCAATTTTAAAAGTGATTTTTGTACTAGTGTGAGCTCACTAAAATAGACTACTTATATTGAGTCCATCTAACATTACAAGAAATGTTACTTATAGTGACAAATAAAAAGTGTCATTATAGATACAATATATGTAAGTATATATCTATTTGACATATAATTACACAAAATTTTTAGTGTTAATTTTGAATGAGATTTAACAACATATTTTGTTGATGAAATAAGGTTCAAACACATGTTTGGAATATGTCTTGCCTCCTTCAATACAAGCTTGTTTCCATTTTGAATCATCAAAGTTACTAATTAATGTCGATAATTTTACTTGTGACATGGTATCTTTTTAGTATGATAAGTAAAATTCATTAAAGGGATTAACATGGAAGGATTCTCTAGAGTCAAATATCCATATAAAATTATTAGACAACAACATTTACACAATTTCACATAGTGGTATGATTGAAATTAAAACAACATAAACAATGTAGAATGTATTCAAATGTAATCATCTAACTTTTAACAAACTTTGAACCACTTATCAATAAGAAAAAAAATATATTCACATAATAATTTCATGAAGTTAAAGTTTTAAATGAGAGTAAATCACATAATAACTATAAAGTTTTATTTACTATAGTCATTAAAAAAACAAACAACTATCTTAAAGCATTCCAAAAAGGAGAGATTTCATATCCTAAGACTTAGCCAAAATTGGACCATAAAAAGGTTGGACAAAGGCTTCACATCTTAATAATTAGCTAAAAATTATCACAAAAAAATTATATTGGATGTGTCACTGCCTTATTGGCTTGACTTCCCTCCTTGTTTGTAACTGGCTGTGTTCGGCTTAGTGATTGTGTTTGAAATAGGTTTGGGGTTAGTGCAACCCTTGAAAGATATTGTATGTACGACCTCTGTAATCTTGTTCAAATCTCATCACCAACAAACCAGCCTAAAAGAACAATGTCTCCTTTTAAATTCACTTGCTATTTTTTTTTGGTGTTTGAAATTATTAAGACATAAACAAAAGACCTCCTAAACCCATCCAAAACAACAACAAACTACAATCTTTGTATCCTTTGGTTTGTTGCACATATATGACATTTCAAAAGAAAAAAGTCTCACATTGCTTGAACCACTCAAATGTAGAACCTTTATATATCAAAGTGCTCCTTACATTCCTAAAGAGGCAAACAATGGGTGGTGGGCTCGCGCACGTAAGAATGGGCCTTGTGAGTCCATTGTAGTTCAAATCTGTCGATTTGTCCCCCGTGCGAAAATGAGATCCAATCCAAAAATATTGAAGCATAACTAATTTAACAAAAATATATTTTCTATTTATTTTATTAAATTAAGCTTAATTAGATTTTTTGTGTTCTTTCATACTTTTAATAATGCTTAATTTATTCCTTTATATAGGACCTTTGTATAAAAAATTATATAGATGTGTTTAATTAACAATTAATTTAATTTTTTAATAAAAAATTTAGATACAATTTTTTAGATGCGATTAATATTCTTTAATTAAAATTAAAGTTTTAATTAATAATATATATAAATGTATATTATATTAAATGCAAATGTATAATATTAAAGTAAAACTTTAATTTTGATTAGAGAACAACAATCATCATAACTAAAGAATTGTACCTATTTTTTTTTTTTAATGTATTTTACAATAAACAAGAATAAAAAAGGTCTAGGAATAGAACAAAAAATGTACTTCTACAGTATTTATGAATCTTTCGGTTAAACTTTAATAATGAGAGACGATATTGGCTTGTTATCCGATAGAAAAATTACCTAACAACAACAGAATTAAATTATCTGAATCCTCAAAGATTTATTTGTAAAGAAATTTAAGCCCTTCAGAAATACTAAGATCCGGAAGAGAATATATACTCCAATAAATATAGTTGTAGTTACTAAACATTCTGGGATATCTATGTATCTTGTTTTGGAAATGGAAACTCATCCAATCGTGCGGAGAAGACATTGAAAATGACATTTTAGTCCACTCTTTATAAGTTAGTTGGAACGAAGCCAAACATTTCACAACTTGTTCCCATTTGCATGCCATGTCCACCAGCGTTGCATTAGAGTCTCTCTTCCCTCTTTGCCGAAGAGAATCTCCATTTCACCGCCACAAACCAATCCCCTTCAGACCCTTCTTTCTCACTTGTTCTTCCAACCTTAATGATGCCTCCTTCGTTTCCCACCAACCTCGTAGGACCCTCTCTCCCGCACTTGAAGCTTCCCTTGCGGACACACCCATCCTCCACTCCCTTCAATGCCCTCAAACCATCACCAACACTTTCCAAATCAACCGAACCCAAATGGTCTCAACTTTCTCTTCCCATTATATATATATGTGCATGCATAGGTAGATGTGTAACAATATGGTTTGATTGGGTGGTAGATGATCATGTCATTTAAGCATGTGGTTTGGGGCCAATTTCCAATTCTATGTATATGAGTTGAACCTCTTAAATGGATCTCAATGCAGAGGATACCTTAAGTTCATGCAAAAATATATTTATATACAGAAAGGGAGATGTTTGGTTTCGTGAGAAAGTGTTGGGGAATACCCAAAAGGGAAAAAAGTTTTGATTTTTGTATTTTTAGGAAAATGTTTGGAACAAAGAAGTTGTCGGGTATCGTAGATTTTGTTTTTGTAGGGTTTATTTTTCTGAGAATGTAAAAGGCAATAAAGGAAATCACCATGCAATAAAGGGTTTATTTTGGGGGAGGGGTTAAAAAGGAAATCACCATGCATGAAAGGCAATAAAGGGTGTTTTGATTTTACTTTTGCTATGTCTTTACGTAATTGAACATGTTTCGGTGTTTGGTATTGATGAGGTTGTTGGTGATGGGATATTTTAGGTGGAGGGAAAGATTTTTGTGAGATTAGATCCCGGAAAGGATTTGAGGGATCGGGAGCTTACCGTGAGTTGCAATATACCCGGAAAATGGATTCTTCACTGGGGAGTTACCTATGTTAATGATGTTGGAAGGTACATCCTTGTTAAACGACATGCTTGAATTCTCTGTTTTTGATTTTGAGATGCCTTGTTATTCTTATACATTAGTTGATTTGATGTTATTTAAGAGCCAACAAATCTTTATTAGTGATGAAATTTGGTTTGTTCTATAATGATGATGTAAGCTTGATTCTCTAGGGAATGGGATGAACCTCCTTGTGATATGATACCCCCTGGCTCTGTTCCTGTAAAGGTAGACAACGGCTTTTTGACTTATCATGATCACATAGAACATGTTCATATTGCCATGCAGAAAGTTTGAGTTGGAAGTGAATAATATTTCAGGAATATGCAATAGAGACCCCTTTGAAGAATTCATCCTTGTCAGCTGAAGGAGATACGCTTCAAGAAGTCAGGATTGATCTTAAAGACAACAATGGAATTTCAGCGGTTAATTTTGTTCTCAAGGTTTATTTCTAACAATTAGCAGTTGAGAATGCTTGAAAAGAAGGCATTGATTCTAAGACCTTTTGACTGAACCTTGTTCTTCCCTTTTGTCATTTCTCTCTGCTTCCCAATTTGGGTGGTCCTGTTGTTGATTCAGGATGAGGAGAATGGAACTTGGTATAAAAACAAAGGAAGAGATTTCAAGGTTTCTTTGATCAACAACCTTAAGGCGAATTCAGATACTAATATAATTGGACCTAAAAGGGGCTTTGATTTATGGCCAGGTTTTTCAAATCATTATACAGTGATTTATTTGCTTCTATAAAAAGTCTAGTTTCTCTTCTTAATGCTCTAGGAGTGTCGAATAAACCATTCTCTTCTCATGATACACAGTCCAATATTTGTGATACTATTTCTTCAATCATAGGGAATTTGGGGCAGATATCTGAGATGTTCTTCAAGTCAAGAGCTGACAGAGATGAAAGAAGTGAATCCAGAGTTCCAGAAAAAGAAAATAATCAACCAGAACGTTTCTATGAAGAAGTGTCTGTAACAAAGAAGGTTTCAGTTAAGAACTCTATCAGTGTCTCCACCAAAAAATGCTTCGAGTCTGGGCAAGTTAAGGACCTCATACATTTTGAAACTGATCTACCTGGGGATGCTGTCCTTCACTGGGGAGTTTGTAGGGATGATTCAAAAAAGTGGGAAGTTCCACCTCCTCCTCATCCACCAGGCACGGTATCATTTAAAGGCAGGGCTTTGAGAACTCAATTACGGGTACAGAACTGACAAATATGTTTTTCGTTTTTGCAACTTAAATTTAAGCTATTAAGTGTTCTTCATGCTTACTATTTACTAACAACCAGGTCCTGTGCATCCTCTTCCCTCTCTTTTATTTTACTACATATTCTTTTACAAATATTGATGGCTTTTATGTCTTCATCAATACATTTAGAATTTTAGGTTATGAATGAATGCATGGTATTCAATCAACAATTCTTCTTCTAAGAGTTTTATACATGTTCTTCCCCTTCTCTCTCTCTTTTGGGTGAGAACTACAAGTTTGGTTAACTTCTTTTGGTAAGGATAGAGGCATAGTATTGTAGTTAATGTCTTTCTTTGTGTTTTAAGATATATTTACTTGTTCATCCTGTTTTTTATAGCCAAGAGATGGTGGAAAAGGATCTTCAGCACTAATCACCTTAGAAGAAGGATTTTCAGGATTTGTTTTTGTTCTTAAGCAAAATGAAAATACTTGGTTCAAGTACATGGGAAATGACTTTTATATCCCCCTTTCAAGTCCTAATGGCTTACTTAATGTTGGCAACATAAAGGATCAGTCAGCAGGTGTGCAGAGGGAAGTGATTAAAGAGGCTAGTCAAGATACTTCTTTCTTTGCATTTGCTGATACAATAGCCAATGACATAAGAAATTTGATCACAGACAATTCCTCTGAGAAGAGTCAAAAGACAAAATCCAAAAAAGAACAACAAAGCATTTTTCAGGAAATTGAAAGACTAGCTGCTGAAGCCTATAATATGTTCAGAAGCTCCATTCCAATTTTCTCAGAGGCAACTATTGCAGAACCTGTAGCAACTTTTGTGGAACCTGAGACTGCTATGGTGGAACCTCAGGTAACAACTATTGTGGAACCTGAGACAACTATGGCGGAAACTCAGGCAACAACTACTGTGGTACCAGCGACTTCAGTGGAATCAGATACACTGTCCCTGGATCCAAAAATATGCTCAGGGACAGGTACAGGATATGAAATTTTGTGCCAAGGGTTTAACTGGGACTCTCATAAATCCGGAAGATGGTACATGGAGCTTAAAGAGATAGCTTCAGAACTAGCATCACTTGGATTCACTGTGGTCTGGTTACCACCACCTACAGAGTCTGTTTCACCTGAAGGATACATGCCTAAGGATTTATATAATTTAAGTTCCAGGTACTATATTCATTAGAAGCAGTCTACTTTTACTGTTGTTAACGTGAATCTTCTCTTAATACTTTGATAGAAGGTTCAGTCTTAGGCAAATTGCTCATGTTAAACAGTTCTTAGATATGTCATATGCTTGAATTTCAAATATTATTGTAACAAGTGTTAAGATAATTCTATAAGATATAGTTTAGATATACTAGTTTATCCTCTCCTAATTTCTAGTTTAGTTTCCTTAGTCAGTTTTATCTAAATCCCTAAACTTTAGGGATTGATTATGTTTTATGCCTATTTATTTTATTGTATCCATCAATTCAATAACATGAAAATCATTCAGATTCAAGTTGGTACTAGAGCATTCTGGTCCTGGTTTGGAAACCCTAACCCAGCCGCCACCAAGGCATCTAGGGTTTTTTTTTCGAATTTTGTTAGCGGTTGTCGGAGTTGATGCCGCCTGAGTGTTCATAGGTCGCCGATCGGCCTTTCTATTGTGAGCCGCCTCCAGACCGGTGTCTCACGCGCTCAAACGTGCGGTTTTTGTCAGAAAAGCTCGCCGGCGCGTGGGGTTCACGCGCCGCCCTCCAGGCCTCCGTTTGCGACGCCGTTTGCACCGTTGGACTCGCCGGCCCTCCCTCTTCTTGTTTTTGACCCTTTTTAGGTAGTGGGTCACACTGTAGGTGATTGTTTGGTTGCTGCTTGGAATTTCGTGGTTGTTTGGGTGCTGCCACGAAATTTCGAGACTGTTTGGAGGTGTTTTTTTGTTGCTGTTCTTCTCCTTTTTCTCTTCATGGCAGAGATTTCCAAGAATGGCACACCCTCTGCTTTTATCCCTAGTTCAACTGACCATGGAAGTCGAGGGCGTGGTCGAGGTCGTGTTCGTGGTAAAGGGGGTAGAGGAAACCTCCATTGTACCTACTGCCAAAGAGATGGGCATACACGAGACAAGTGTTATTCCTTGCATGGCTTTCCGAGCAAGATAGCTAAAGTGGCTCAATCTCCGACTTCGGCTCTAGAAGTCAAGATTGAACCCAAGAGTAATCATCCAATCACATTATCTGCCGATGATTACAAAGAGTATCTTCAACTAAAGGCGACTAAACAGGCCCCTTCCTCCATCACTGTTGCTCATACTGGTAATTCTACGGTCTGTCTCTCTCATTCTACGTCTATTGGACCTTGGGTTTTGGACTCCGGTGCTTCTGATCACCTAACTGGTAATGTCTCCCTTTTCCGTAACCTATCATCACCTAAAACTCCACATCATATCACTCTTGCAGATGGGTCAAAAGTCCAAGCCATTGGTATTGGTCAAATATCACCTCTTCCATCACTACCATTAAAATCTGTTTTACTAGTTCCTGGATGTCCCTTTAATTTGATTTCTATAAGTAAGTTGACTCGGTCACTAAATTGTGTCATAACCTTCACTTCTGATTCTTTCTTGATACAGGACCGGAGTACGGGACAGACGATTGGAGCCGGATCTGAATCACATGGTCTCTACTACCTTCAGCCTTCTACCTCTACCATATGTGCATCTATTGAGTCTCCTGGTTTAATTCATCGTCGCCTGGGTCATCCAAGCTTGAATAAATTAAAGAAAATGGTACCTCATCTCTCACGGTTGGTGTCCTTAGAGTGTGAGTCGTGTCAATTAGGGAAGCATGTTAGAGCTTCTTTTCCTAATAGTATTAATAGTCGAGCTATGTCTCCTTTTGATGTTATTCATTCTGATGTTTGGGGTCCTAGTCGCATTCCTTCTCTTTTAGGACATAGGTATTACGTCACCTTTATTGATGATTTTTCTAGATGTACTTGGATATTTTTGATGAAAAATCGTTCTGAGTTATTCAATATTTTCCTAAGTTTCTATTCGGAGATCAAAACTCAATTTGGCAAAGTAATTCGGATTTTACGAAGTGATAATGCTAAAGAATATTTTTCAGATTGCTTCAAATCATTTATGGCTTCTCATGGCATTCTACATCAATCTAGTTGCCCTCATACACCTCAACAAAATGGTGTAGCTGAGCGAAAACATAGACATATTGTGGACACTGCTCGTACTCTTTTATTGAATGCCAATGCACCCCCAAAGTTGTGGGGCGATGCTATCCTCACTGCAGGGTATCTAATAAATCGAATGTCATCGTCTGTCTTGAATGATCAAGTACCTCATTCCCTATTATACTCATTGGATCCCCTTTACTCTGTTCATCCTCGTGTCTTTGGTTGTACTTGTTTTGTCCATGATCTTTTCTCAGGACGTGATAAGTTGTCTGCTCGGGCCATCAAATGTGTGTTCTTAGGATACTCTCGTGTCCAAAAGGGGTACCGTTGTTACTCCCCTGCTACACATCGATTTTACACAAGTGCAGATGTCACTTTCTTTGAAGATACACCATATTTTATTGCCACAGATGTCTCTCCGGTTGACTCAGATTTCCTCTCTCAGGTATTGCTTATTCCTCATTTTGATCATAGTATGCCTCCTACCACACCTTCTACTTTAGAGACACCAGATCCTCCCACACTACCAGGGTCTGACAATCCTCTACACCGATTTGGGATAACATATGAGCGTCGATCACATACTGTTGTTTCTCCCAATGATTCTACAATTGAGCCATGTGATTCTACTCCTGCTTCAGTCTCCTCACCTACTACGGCCCCACCTACCTCAGTTGACTTGCCCATTGCTCTTCGTTTCGGTGCCGACCGAACACTAACTCAGTGGTGGGGGAGGGTACCTGCAAAGGCACTCCGACGATCAAGTCAGTACTCGGTTCAGAGCAATGAATGCTTTATAATGAATAGTAACGTACCTCATTTATGTCACATCACCTGTATATTTATAGTGACATGTTTGGGCCTGGTGGGCCTTCATCCTTGGGATGTGGGTAATACGTGACTTATCCTTAATCCTGTCTTAATCTGGCCTGATAATTAGTATCTTAGTAGGTATTTGGTTTTCCACGTGTTCATCATGGGTTTTTCACTGTTTTCGGCTAAGCATAAGGCCGAAGGGGTGTTCGGCCAAACTTGGGACCGGAGGAGTGTTCGGCCAAGTTTGGGGCCGAAGGAGTGTTTGGCCAAGCTTGGGGCCGAAGGAGTGTTCGGCCAAGCTTTGGGCCGAAAGGGTGTTCTTGAGTAACCACTTCTCTTTGGGTGTCTTTCCTAAGGAACTGAAGGAGTGTTCGGCCTAGCCCGAGGCCGAGGGGGTGTTCTGTTAGGTATGGTGCCGAAGGGGGGGGGGGGGCGGCGCGGGGGCTGTCGGGACTGGCTGTTTGGAGGTTCCACGTAGATCCGATTCAACCAATCAAATGCCTCTCCTCAGTGCTAAGCACCGTTGCTTGGAGAAGCAACAAAGAAATTTTTTTAAGCAACTGGGTTGCCACGTGAGATCACTCCAACGGGGATTTCTTCTAAGCACCGTTGCTTGTCAGTAAGCAACGCTCTAAGAACTTGCCGCTGGAGGTGCTCTTAGATAGTGTTCGTCAATCGATGCTAACTCCTGCTAAAGTGTACTTTTTTTCTTTAGATTTTAATATTTTATTTTATTTTTAAGTTTGTGTCTGTCATAGTTAACACTAATGAATATATATATATATATATAATAGAAAGGATCTGTTTATTCTAGGAATAAATTTATTTAGATTTATTCCGTTCAATAACTCATGTTCTACATCAAATTTTAACGATCTAACTGTTAAAATTAAAGTTTTTAATACATAGATTAATCTACAAATTTTTAAAAAATTTGAAATTCATTTGATACTACATTTAATTAATTCAAATTGACGGATAATCATAAAATCATTTTATACATTGATTTGACCGGCACTTATTAACATGGCCAACAAAAATATTTTATTTTAACATGAAAACAAAAAAAAAAATTCTTCCCCCCTCCCCTTTACTTTTTATACTTCTTTTTCAACTTTTCCTTCTCCCTTTTTCAATTAAGGTGGCAGTTGAGCGTTTGGCAATGGGGAGCTTATGCCTTATTAAAGGTCACTAGCCTCATCAATGAGAAGGCGCGGGGGCTGTCGGGACTGGCTGTTTGGAGGTTCCACGTAGATCCGATTCAACCAATCAAATGCCTCTCCTCAGTGCTAAGCACCGTTGCTTGGAGAAGCAACAAAGAAATTTTTTTAAGCAACTGGGTTGCCACGTGAGATCACTCCAACGGGGATTTCTTCTAAGCACCGTTGCTTGTCAGTAAGCAACGCTCTAAGAACTTGCCGCTGGAGGTGCTCTTAGATAGTGTTCGTCAATCGATGCTAACTCCTGCTAAAGTGTACTTTTTTTCTTTAGATTTTAATATTTTATTTTATTTTTAAGTTTGTGTCTGTCATAGTTAACACTAATGAATATATATATATATATATAATAGAAAGGATCTGTTTATTCTAGGAATAAATTTATTTAGATTTATTCCGTTCAATAACTCATGTTCTACATCAAATTTTAACGATCTAACTGTTAAAATTAAAGTTTTTAATACATAGATTAATCTACAAATTTTTAAAAAATTTGAAATTCATTTGATACTACATTTAATTAATTCAAATTGACGGATAATCATAAAATCATTTTATACATTGATTTGACCGGCACTTATTAACATGGCCAACAAAAATATTTTATTTTAACATGAAAACAAAAATATGATCACTAATTAACTTGTGTAGCACGCAGCACATTTCCAGCTGCTGGTTTATATAATACATGAGAAAGAAAAAACTTGTTCTCACAGAATAGATAACTGTCATACCATCGTAATGAAAAAAACTTGCTCGTATGAATTGTAACACTTCTGTTTTTGAATATAAATATCAGATACGGAAACATTTATGAACTGAAAGATTTGGTGAAAACATTTCATGAAGTTGGGATCAAAGTTCTAGGAGATGCAGTTTTAAATCACCGCTGTGCTCATTATCAGAATAAGAATGGTGTTTGGAACATATTTGGAGGCCGTCTTAACTGGGATGATAGTGCAGTTGTTGGTGATGATCCACATTTTCAGGTTTGTTGGTGAAGGTTTTGGATATTTGTTCTGTTTCCTTGTTCTAATCCTAAAACAGAATAAGATAGATAAGAAGGTTCTCTACATTTTATATAACATAGCTAGTTTCCGTTAGAGGTTTAAGTTTAATGCATTTCCATTATGTTTCATTGATTATTTTAACACTACGATGTGTTACTTTCTGGGTGAACCTGAAAAAATATTGAATATCCTTTCTAACATACAGGGTAAGGGCAACAAGAGTAGTGGAGATAATTTTCATGCTGCTCCAAACATTGATCATTCACAGGAATTTGTGAGAGAGGATCTCAAAGAATGGTTATGCTGGTTGAGGTTGATATTTTTAGACCCAAATTTTCTTTAGCTTACTTTTAAGTTTTAACAAAAAAGTGTTTGTTGGACAATAATGCACCCAATAGGTTTGTGAGTAGATCATAGATTCTAATCATGTGATATTGGGAGTAATGGTTTTGTTAACAAGATTTGTTATGCTGGATAGCTTAGAGATTCTGTCATAGAGAATTGAGGTTAACCATCTTCTAATTTTTTTGTAAAATTTCACGTTTGAGGTTAGACTAATTCCAGCTGTTAGTTGTGCATGACTTGGTAACTACCACAATGGGGCTTAAACTTATTAGTTATTACAAATATCCATGTTTCAAGTAAAGAGTTTGTAAGTGTAAATTGACGTCTTGATGCTAGATCATGCTCTAGTTATAGCAGATTGGCTAAGCTGGTTTCTTATCATCACCCATTTGTGTAATTGTCTTTGACTTTGACATCTCCTGGTAGTACAGGATGCCAGCCCCTAGTTTGTGTCGGCTATAGCTTATCTGTTCAGGAGATGTCAGACAAAATTTAACAAGTGTTTTGGGCTAGACGTATATTCTTTGTCAAAAACTCATTTTATGTAAAACCACTGTATCTTACCTGGTTTGCTATGGGGGAGATCGGGGTACTTTGTGCTTTATTGAACACGTGAGTGACAGAAATGGAAAGTTTCATTACAAGGAATTCTCATATGCTTTTCGTCATTTTGGATAAATTTCTCTAGAAACACTTATACGAGGAAAAAAATAAGAACGAAAATCAAATTAAGCTTCTCTATAAGTTAAAATTAGCTTATACATTAAGTAAAAGATTTTGAAGATGTTAAAGAAGAAAGCTTCTATAATTTAGCTTATGTGTAAGGCAATTTTAACTTATGAAGAAGTTTATTATAATTTTTCTTCGTATTTTTCTTTCCTAAAAATACTTCTGAAAAAATTTACCTAATCAGACTCTTTATGGTGTGATAATAACTAATATAGTGTCTTACATAGTTGTATACTTTTCTAATACTATGTGGCCCTCAGGAAAGAAGTTGGGTATGATGGATGGAGGCTTGACTTTGTGAGAGGATTTTGGGGTGGTTATGTAAAGGAATACATAGATGCAAGTGAACCTTATTTTGCTGTGGGAGAGTTCTGGGATTCTCTCAGTTATACATCTGGTGAAACGGATCATAATCAAGATGCTCATAGGCAGAGGATAATTGACTGGATCAGTGCCACTAATGGTACCGCTGGTGCATTTGATGTTACCACTAAAGGAATTCTCCACTCTGTAAGCATTAACTCTGGTACATCTTTTTCACAGCATTTGTTCAAATTTTCATATTCCATGTACCTCTTACAAACTGGATCATAATTTGAAATTAACACTAGTTTCATTATTTGATGAAATTTAGTCGACATCTCTTCTTGCTATATCAGAAATATATGCAACTGTACTGATATAAGCAACCTTACATTACCCTCTTATTTTGTCTTAACATGGTTGCTTTTCCTATTTTTTCTTTAATGATGAAATGTAAAATTCTTTCTCAATGTAGGCATTAGAAAAATGTGAATATTGGCGATTGTCAGATGAGAAGGGAAAGCCTCCAGGAGTTGTTGGGTGGTGGCCATCTCGTGCTGTTACCTTTATAGAGAATCATGACACTGGTTCCACCCAGGTTTGAACTTCCTCTTTCTAAAAATATCTTGATACATATTTTTTTCTAGGTTTAATTTTATTGAAATTTTTTATTATCTATCAATGATTTCAGACAGAAAATATTTGCTTAGCATATTGTTAAGAAGAATGCAACTAGTATAATTAGATGTTTCAAATTAGGAACTTTCCTCGGAATTTCTTCAGATTTATAGATTTCTTTAATATTTTCTCTTGCAGGGTCACTGGAGATTTCCTCGTGGAGAAGAAATGCAAGGATATGCTTACATTCTTACTCACCCAGGAACCCCATCAGTGTTTTATGACCACATTTTCTCTCGCTATAAAACTGAAATAGAATCTCTGATATCTATCAGGAAGAGGAACAAGATCCACTGCAGGAGTACAGTAAGCATCACAATATTGTCCAGTGTAATAAATCTAGTATTGTAAAAATGTTTTTTGGGATGGACAAATAAGAAGAAACTGTTTTCTTAGCATGCAAAAGCAAATTAATTTTGGTTCTCGACATAGGTTGAGAGAGTGAAACCAATTACTCAAAAATCATAATGTAAAATGATAGATGACATTCCACAGTATGAACCTATCTGGCTATCTCAATTTAAAAATGTGGTTTTAATCCCTATAAAATTTTAATACATTTTTAATCCTGATATTTATTAATAAAAAAAATGATGTAGTTTTTGTCGCTTGTTACAGACTAAAGCATGTATTTCTATTAAAATGTAGGAACTAAAATTGACTTTCATGATATCTTTAGGGACTAAAAGTATATTTTAGATTTTACCTTTATATTTTCTTGGTGCGTGATATGGAAACTAATACCATATGCATGCATGCCAATATCTTTTATGATTATCTTGATCATGTTGGAAATCCCGCATCATCTATGTCTATTTCTATGGTACAACTTATATATATGTTAGATAACTAGAGTTACTTGGTTTTGAGATCAAATCTAACATAATATTAGAGTGTGTAGTAATGGAGTTCATATTCATGAATCACCTATTCTAGTGCATCACTTGTGGTTAATATATCTGTTAGACAATTTCATCACACTTAAAGCCAATTGATCTAACAAATAACAATATAACATGTTCTTTAGATGTCTATTCAGTGGCAAATTGATGTAATGTATTACAAATGTTTATATCGTTGGAGCACTAACCTTTTCCACTTTCTTGCCCCAGGTTCAAATTAGTAAAGCAGAAAAGGATGTTTATGCAGCCATCATCGATGAAAAAGTTGCTATGAAGATTGGACCTGGAGATTTTGAACCTCCTAGTGTCTCCCAGAAATGGTCATTAGCTATTGAGGGAAAAGACTATAAGATTTGGGAAGCATCATAATCATAATATAATCATTACTAATTTGTATCTTATAATTAAGTATGTACATACATAGTCCTTTGTACATTCTTCCTCATGCATATCCCGTTGTCTCACTCAAGAATAGTTTTTCCTTTGTTGTATTTGGATGGTGGTATAGTTGTGCCATGCTGTTGCTTAACGTATATACATAGGATTTTGGCCACATAAGCAACACTACCTAGAAGGCCGCGTAGGGTATATTTCAGCCTAATGCTGGCTCATCTGGAACTAGAAAATTTTGGATGCTTTAAAAGTTGGGAAATGAGTTGTATCATATACTATATATATTTACGTAGTGTATGATTTTTACACAACCCGGTTGATGGTAAATAAAATTTCTCAACTGTCTCACGGATAAGGAACCAACCTTTTTGTTAGTGTACAAAGTAAATTTATGAACTCAAGTTTCACTTGTTCATGTGTATTGCTTCTTTCATGACAAACATGATCAGTTGATGTCAGATATCAGATGCAGCAGATTAAGTGAATACAACAGGAAGAGTCAAGAACATATATAGTATTGGCAATGACTTAGCGTGTAACAAATTTATTGCCTTACATATTAGGTACCTATGTTGCATGGATGTGGGTCGTTATTGGGTACGGTCTGGGTGATTGTTTAAAGTTATTGGATACGGGTATGTTAATGTGAATCTTAAAATTAAAATATACATGAATGAAAAAAATAAAATTATACATACACATGACTAAATTTTATAAATGAAAAAAAAAACACAAATAAGCATAATTTATAATATAAAAAAGAGTTAAATTGTTCAAAAGGGCAACTAAAAAATCTAAAATAAACTATACCATGTAAATGCTCATCAATCAATATTATAACATCCAACACTATATATCACATTTTCACTGTTTCATTCTCATAATTTTTTTTCATCAATCAATATTTTGAAAAAGAATCATTTCTAAATTTAGTTTATCAAAGGAAAAAATAGCAACATGATGACTGATTTAGAATAATTTATACTTAGCACTCAGTACATATTAAGGAGGTTAAGAACAAAAGGTTTCTTATATCATTGGTCACCTGTTCTCACCATACACGAAGAAGGATGTATAAATGATAATATATTTATAGTTTTTTTTTTCTCTAAAGGATATATCTATTTATCATTGGGTTACATATATATGCAAATAATATCTACAAGTATCCAAATTAAGCACCCAATTTTCTTTCAGTAAATGGTTTTGGTATGTATTCAATATATATAGTCAAGTATGTACCCATTGCATATGCGATATATATACTCATAAGTATGTACTCATTGTAGATAGAATACACATTTGGTACGTATGTAATTTCATTTAGGAGTGATAAAACGGGTTACAGTCTGTGGGCCGACCTGCTAGCCCATTAAAAATTGACGAGTTGGGTCAAGTATTTTGACCTGTCAGTCAGTCTGGTCCGCTCTACTTAACCCGTCAGTTCACTAGGTTGGGGTGGGTTAGCTCGCCAACTTTTTCTTTTTGTTAATTTATTATTTTTAATGAAAATTTAATTAAGTCACTTCAAATTTATTATGTGTAATTTTTAATTTATTATATAATAAATATGTTGTGCTTTTAATTTATTTTATTATATGTAATTTTTTTATTATTTAGCTACACCATTTGTGTAAATCCTTTAGATATTGAAAAAAAAATGTGTTAGAAGAGTAACTTAAAATAAATATATATAAAAAAATTCTTTTTTTTTTCCTTTTTTTCCTTTTTTTTTTCCTTTTTTTGGTGAGCTAAGATTTATGGCCCATTTTTTCTGGAGAGTCAATCTAGTCCAACCTATTTTTGGGAGGTCAAGCCTAAACAAATCGATTAGTGTTGTCATCCTTAATTCCATTTCTATCTTTAATAATTATTTGAGTGATATATTTTTTTTATAATGTTAGTGTGGACTATGTGGTGAAGGTGAAAGTGGATGAAGAAGCAGCTGTAGGTTAAAAAAAACTAAAACTAAATAAAATTTAAGAGTTATCATATTATTTATTGAATTGAAAGAAATAAAAAAAATTTAAAAACGCATCACATTATTCTAAAATTAATATATATATATATATGTGTGCGCGCGTGTGGCCAAAATAGTAATATTAATATGTACTTAAAAACTAAAATGATAACAAGTTGTTAAATTTAAAAACTTATTTCACATTTTAGAAATAAAAAATTTATTCTTTTTAATAAATATTACAACTCTCATTACTCTCATGAACGAAAGTGACTATTTACCAATAATAATAATAATAATAATTAAAGACTAAATAGAAATTTCAATTTTATTGGAATTGAAATCAAAATTTGATATTTTTTTAAGAACAAAAACCATTTTTAAAATGACACAAAACAACACTAGCCGTGTGATTTTTACTTTTAATTTATTTATTCAATCTCCTCTGTTATATCTAAACAAGAAAATAAGTTGAAAATAACATTTTAGTTCATTAATTAATTTATACTCATTATATCCCCATAATTACTTGCAAATTCATTGGTATAATATGCACAAAGCGCTTAGCGGTCAACATATCCGATATCAAGTAGCATTACTAGAATTTCTCTTATTACATACGAATTTTTCTGCAAATTTTGTATTAAAATCCATAGCAAACATTATTACTACGAATTTTTCTACAGAAATTTTATCTGCAAGTAATACCTTCGTGATAATGTGTTTTTGTGAAAGTTTTCTACAAAAATTCGCGGGAAAGTTTCCTGCAAATTTGTTTGTAAGAAATTCTGCAGGAATATTTTTTACAAAAAAAATTAAAAAAATTACTATAAATTTTATCAATAATTCTTCAATTTTCAAATGCTCACAATGAATTCATCCGAAATATTTGTTTCTACACCTCCAACATTTGATACATAATCTTTTAAACTCTAAGATTATATAGATTATAAGCCTAACATTTAATCATACAAATTAACTTGTAAGATAAGTGTTGCCCCAACTTATATACTTTTTGATTGTTTTATTTTCAATCAATGTGAGACTTGAAGTTTTTTTTTAAATATTAAACTTATAAATTTAAATATCTTTTTGATTTTTCATGCGGATTAAAATTGGCAAGAAAATCCGCAGGAAAAATTACCTGCGAAATTTTTCTACCATTTAGTAAACATTACTTACAAATTTATTTTTGCAAGAAAATCTGCAAGAAACAAAATAAAATTCTTACAATATTTTCTGCAAATTTTTACCATGAAAAAAAATTTCTATGATCATTAAAATATTGTAGCAAAATTTGCAAAAATTTCTTGTAAATTATTTTTCATAAAAAAATTGTAAGAAATATCTGTAAATTATTTTTTGTAAATAAATTCGTAATTTTTTTTTTGTGAAATTATGATTGCAAGAAAATTCGCAAAAAGTTTCTACGAATATTTCTTTTAGAAAAATTCGCAAAAAAATAACACTTTAAAAACTATCTTGTCATTAAAACAATAATATCAACACTCTAAAAACATAATAGTTGTTTGTAATTAATTACTTGCGGGTAAGAAATAAGAATAAGTGTTAGGCTACCTTTTTTCAATCATCAAATGCTATCCTTGATAATAATTACTAAAGTTGATTTAGTGGTAAGGTGAAAGTAGTATATACAATATCTTATAACTTCGTTGTAATTCTACACATAATTAATAAAAATGCTACCCCTATTACTCGTAGCGCCATAAGAGATCCATGCATGGCAAAACCATAAATATCTATTTCAAGGCAAACGTTATAACCTCTATCACACTCTCAAGAATATCATTGCAATACTATTTGAAAAGCTAAACTCTAATGGTTAATATGAGCTTCCACATTTCAAGGTAGAACAAACTATATTAATTATAGCAACACGGCTTGGTTGGAAATATCCACTATCATTTTTATAGGGTCAAAAGCAAAAACCACCCACCCATGACAAGAAAATTATGTATCTAATTGCATTATTTTCTATGAATAGAAATGCAGGTAAACTGAATTTCACAAGTTTTCTTCCTAAATCTGTTCAATGTCAAAGGCTGACCGTAATTCCAGCCATTTTTTCTCTTCAAATTTACCCAAATAGAAATAAGTATATATGTAAAGTGCTTCCTAGACAATATTTAAGTATACACATCTATAGTTGTGTACTTGTATCATAATCGGAGTCTTTTTCCTTTTATTTGGCTGAGGTTACCTTTCCCTTGGCCATAAACACACAAAATAAAAAATAAATAAATAAAAATACAAAATAATAATAAAGACCCCCCACCTGCATAAAAATGCGTTACTTCTACCTTTTGATTTGTTTCATAACCATCATACCAACTTTGGATGCGAATGACAAAGAGAATGAAGAGTACTGGAAGAAGCAAACTGAAGTGCTTGATGCATATTGGGAGTATAGAGAAGAAGTTGCACAAGAAGAAAACAAAGAAGCCTACACACCTGACCCATATGCACTCACCAGCAACCTGACTTCTAATGTTAGCGAGTGAGTTTTATCATCAATTCTCCTATTAATGCCTATCGATCATATGAGAATCTTCACATATTCATTCATGGTATTGGTGTTTGTATAATGTGTTTCTTTTTATCTGTCATAGAATAAGGCTTTTTGTTAGGGTTTCCAGATTTTGCCTTCTCCAAAATTTCAATTATAAATAAATTATATATAGATAAGATTTGTTATTAATAACATTTTATCAGTTCAATAAATAAGTTTGTCAGCGGATGATATCGATTTAGATTATACATAAACATTTACTCAACATAAAATATGGGTGCTAGAAGTGTTAAAATATTATATTTGATATATGAACTATGATAGATATTAACACTTGACATGAAGAAAAACATATTTTATGTCAAGTGTTTGAGCCATGTAGAATGTTTGAATATTTTATGTGGCATCTATCTATATCAGATTCAGAATTGAGTTAGAATGTGAATTAAAAGTCTTCTACACATTATTACATCCTCTTTAAATTCCAGTGACAAAGACAATTTTCCTTCTTAATATCTCTGCAGAAGTCCAGTTATTTTATGTTTTTTTTAAAGAATGTTTCTAACACTTGCTGATAATATTTTGTATTTGTTTGAGAGAACAGACTGATAATCGGTGAGAACGATGGAAGAAGGAATTTGGGGGGAAAAGCCAGAAATGGTGACTGTATGGCAACAAACCCAATTGACAGGTGTTGGAGGTGTGACCCTAATTGGGCAAACAACCGGAAGAAGCTTGCAGATTGTGTGCAAGGTTTTGGCAGAAAAACGATTGGTGGAAAGAATGGTCCATTCTATGTGGTAACGAGTCCAAACGACAACGACCTGGTGAATCCTGTTCCTGGTACCCTAAGGCATGCAGTAACACGAAATGGACCCTTGTGGATCACATTTTCTCATAGCATGAACATTAGGCTGAGCCAGGAGCTGATAATGGCAGGTGACAAGACGATTGATGGAAGAGGGGCTGATGTGTACATTTCTGGTGGGGCTGGATTCACCATCCAGTTTGTGAAGAATGTGATCATCCATGGAATCAAAATCTTTGACATTCAGGTTGGCAGTGGTGGACTTATTAGAGATTCTGAGACCCACTATGGTATTAGGACTATGAGTGATGGTGATGGCATATCCATCTTTGGCTCCAGCAATGTTTGGATTGACCATGTTTCCATGAGAAACTGCAGAGATGGTTTGATAGATGCCATCATGGGTTCCACTGCTATTACAATCTCCAACAGCCACTTCACAGACCACAATGAGGTCATTAATTTACTCATTTCATTTCACTTCACTTCCTCTTCCTCCATATATGATTTTAGTCCTACATTTTCACATATATATTATATATATGATGCAGGTGATGCTGTTTGGTGCCAGTGACAGCTATACACTTGACAAGATAATGCAGATCACAGTGGCATTCAACCACTTCGGCAAGAGATTAATCCAAAGGATGCCAAGGTGCAGATATGGTTTTATCCATGTGGTTAACAACGACTACACTCATTGGGAAATGTATGCCATTGGTGGTAGCAAGAACCCTACCATAATTAGTGAGGGCAACCGATTCATAGCACCTAACAACATTTTTGCTAAAGAGGTACTTTATATACATTAATACATACACATACATTGCATTTGCATCCTTAGTTTTGCATGGAAAATGATGACACTGACATGCATATAATTTGGTGTTGGTGAAGATAACAAAGAGGGAGTACTCACCAGAGCAAGTGTGGAAATCATGGCAATGGAGCTCAGTCAACGATGAGTACATGAATGGAGCATTTTTCGTACAAAGTGGGGCTCCACTAAACAACAGGCCATTCACACGTAAGGACATGATATCAGCCAAACCAGGGTCATATGTGGGAAGACTCACTCGCTTTGCTGGAAGCCTTAAATGCATTGTGGGAAAGCCTTGTTAGACATCACATCACTAACCAACCAATTAAATACGTCATATATGTTTTTTCCTTAGTTTATACATACTCATTATGTGTATTCTTCATGTATATACTTTCATCGATTAATTGTAAATGGAAATTGCACCAATGTTTAATTAAATTGTCTCGGATATTTCCCTTCTAATGGAAGCTTCTTTCATTACTCATTTTTTATCTATCTTGTTATTCTTTTTATTAATTTCACCGTCATTTTTCACTTTTTTGACTTCATTACTATGTTTTTTTAGTATTTAATATGTCTAGTATAAATTTTATAGTTTGTATTATAAAACTTAAAAAATAGCAGTCATTCACTTCTACTATCCAAAATGGATAACTATAATAAAAACTATTTTATATTCTAAAGCAATTTTCCAAACCAATTTGGTAGGTTCTAACCGAATTGTGAATTATCTTAAAAATTCCCATATCAAATCACAAATAAATAAATAAATAGATATTTATGAAAAAAAATAATCATATCTAAAATTTTACTAATATTTTTTTTTATATATAATCATGTTAATACTATTTAAAAATTTGGCTTGTCTCACCAACACTTTTCAATATAGTATTTACACTTAAATATATTTTTAAACTTTTAAATTTGGTTTAAATTTATTTTTGATCTTTCCAAATTAAATTTAGACTTTTTAGTCCCTATACTAAGAAAAATATTTTAGTCTAACATAACAAAACTACAAATAACATCATATACAATGACAAATGAAATCAATTGTATAATATCAATTGAGTTTAATTTGAAGCCTTCTCGGTAAAAACAGACATTAATATGAGTATATTTTATATGATAGATTAAGTGATATGTAAGTTTTGTTTGACAAAATCACTAATGATAATCGAATAAATTTAATTGTTACATGATTTAAAAAAAATTAAATTTATGAGATCAAAATCAAATTTATCTCGTATTTAAGAAATCAAAATCATATTTAAACCTAATATTTATTATTAAATATCTATAAAAATTGGTTTGATTAGTATTTTTATACATTATTATTCTTTAATAAAAGCATATTTATTATTTTTCATAAATAAAATAATTTTAAAAATTAGTATTACTTTTATTAATATGTTTTCATATATTGAATACTTAATATTATTTCTAAATTTTTATCTCATTCAAACATTTTTTAATCATATTATTAATAGTATGAAATATCACATTATTATTATTACTTTGCTGATAACTAATAACTTAGTTGACAACTTTTAGTAAAATCTCTCATATTAATCATGTTTGTTTTTATATGTAAAACTCGAATCTAAAACCTTTCTTAAAAAAAATTAAATCCAGTATATTACTCTTACCAATACTTTATTGATTGGTTTATAATTATACACACCTTTTTATATTAATAACACCTCCATTATACTTTTTTTTTCTTTTCAAAATACCTTCATTTTTTTATTTTTAATTTCTCAACTTTATCAACCCCTACCTTCAAGGTTCAATTTTTTTTCCAAATACTTCCCTAACATGCACCCCTATCTTATCCTTCCTCCAAAGTTTATTTTTTTTTTCAAGCACTTACCTCTTTTACAAAATTCCTTTTTGTGTTGTTGTCTCCAATGTTTAATTTTTTTTGTCAAACACTCACTTATTTCACATACACCCTCTTCCTCTTGTTTTCAAGACCTCAAAATGTACTAAAATTTTATAATTAATTTTTTTTCCAAAACATAAAATTTTAATATTCTTGCATGCACCTAGTTTCCTTAAACATAAATTTTATTATTTTGGAAAAAACTTTTTAAATACTTTGAAGTGAAATGTTTTGTTTGGATTAAAAAAAATTAAATTCAAGTTTTTATGAAATTTTTTAAATTGTAGAATTTTGAATTCCTCAAAAAATAAAAATACAAATTTGAAATACTTCTTTTTCTTTTTTCTCCTACCTTCCTCTCATTTTTCAAATTTGACATAAAACATCGTTATTTGTTTAATTATTAAACATTCAAAAATATTTTTTACTATAAAATATTATCTAATATGAATTTTTAAAAATTTCTAAATATTTAAGAATTAGCTAATATTTATTTTTATAAAATTTAGTATTAAAATTTGTGTGTGTATATATATATATATATTAAAATTTTATGATGAAAATCAAATTATTTCATCTAAATTAAAACTTTTAAAAATTTGAATTGATTTATCTTAAAAAGACATTTAAAAATAATGGAAATAGTAATTATAGTAATTCAAATTCTAAAAAGTTCTCATTTATTTCAAAAATCTTTTTATTTATTTTCTTATTTAAATTTCTTAACCAAACACTTCTTTCAGTTTATCCTATTTATTTAAATTAAATTTTAATAATTTTGTAAAGGGAAATAATAAAAAGTCATAAAGTCTTATTTTTAATAGTTGTAATGGTGTCTATATAAGACACTTTATTCATCTGCTGTATGTTGTTCTATTAAGTATCAATACAGAAAAACATTTTCTCTGTTTTCTCTCCTCCATGGCAGAACTCTAACATGGTATCAAGAGCACTGTAACATCAACCATGACTTCCTCATCTCAATTCGTTCCACACACGCTCAATATGCCGATTGCTATCAAATTAGATGATGATAATTTCTTGATTTTTTAAGAATATTTTCTTGCAACAATTCGAGGGTTAAAACTTGAGAAATTTGTTCGTGGAGATGCAATTCCACCACGTTTTGCTACAAAAGAAAATGAAACTGCAAAGACGGAGATTCTTGAAGCAAAGACGGAGAATCTTGAATACACCAATTACGTTCAACAAGATCAACTGCTTGTCGCGTGGCTCTTGGCATCAATGTCGTCACCAATCTTAACAAAGATGGTAGGATTGAAATTTGCTTATCAAATTTGGAAGAGGTTAGAAGTATATTATGCTACGCGCACACGAGCTGTTATCAAGAAATTGAAATTGCAGCTTCAGATGATCAAGAAAAATAAAGGTATCAATGAATATCTCCTAGAAATCAAGAAAATTGTTGACTCTCTTGCTGCAGTTGGGTCGCCTGTTTCTGATGAAGATCATATTGATGCAATTCTGGATGGTTTGCCAGATGAGTTTGACGATTTCGTTACTTCCATCACGTCTAGACTTGATCCATATACTATTGATGAGATAGAGGCATTGCTGCTTGCTCAAGAAGAGAGATTTGAAAAGCGAAAGCATTCAGACACCCCTCTTATTCGTGCAAATATTGTTTCTGGTCCAAATCAATGGCAAAACTCCAATCAAGGTCGTGGTAGATCTGCTTTCAATACACAAGGAGAATTTCATGGGGGAAGATTTCATAATAGAGGGGGCAATTGGAACAATAGAGGCAAGTTTAATGCTGGTAGAGGCAATGGACGCTCAAATTAGAATCAGACTGGTCAAAACAATTGGAATCAAAATAAACCCACCTGTTAGATTTGTGGTAAAATTGGCCATATTGCTCTTAACTGTTATTACATGTACAATCAAGAGTATCAGAATCATCCTCAGGCCAATAACACTTAGTTTCAACCTAGTGGATATGATCTCTCGGAGACCACTACTCTTGCAACTCCTTCAACTGTGCAAGACCCTCTCTGGTACCCAAACTCGGGTGCATCTCATCATTTTACTCATGATGAATCCAATCTATCCATAAAGAATGCTTACACTGGAACTGATTCTGTCAATATTGGTAATGGTACAGGTTTGCATATCAGTCATGTTGGTCTTTCTTATTTTCATAATCATATGTCATCTAAACACTTTGTTATGCATAATTTGCTTCATGTCCCATCTATAACTAAAAATTTGCTAAGCGTTTCCAAATTTGCAAGAGACAATAGGGTATTTTTTTAGTTTTGGCCTGATTGTTGTAATGTTAAAACTCAAGACACCAAGGACATCATCCTCCAAGGGCATCTTAAGGACGACTTGTATGTGTTTCCTCAATTTCAAAAAGTTCAAACTGTTTCTGCTCATCCTGTTCAAAAGGAATCTAATCATTCTTTTTTTTAGCTTTGGCATTCAAGGCTTGGACATCCCTCTCCTAGAATTGTGAAATTGGCTTTAAAACATTGTAATATACCTAGTAGTGTAGACACTCAATTTCGTCCGGGGGCACACAAACAAGGAAATGGACCTACATTATGAAGGGAAGGAGCTTCCGAAGCGGGCAAACAATAAGATAGGACATTAGAAGGCCTAAAGGCCAAATAAGGTGATTTTAGTAGCCCGGAACGGGCTGTTCCAAAATCAGAACGGGCCGTTCTGAACCCCGGAACGAGCCGTTCCAATATCAGAACGGACCGTTTCAACGTGACTAAAACACATAGGAGTCGTAGGCTGGAACGGGTCATTCCAAACAAGTCAAATTTGGAATGGGTCGTTCTGGAAAGGACAACTTTATGTTAATTTCCACTTTGGAACGGGCCATTCCGTTTTCAGATCGGGCCGTTCCAGGTGCGTAATTTGCACATAACGACTTGCCCAGAACGGGTCGTTCCGAATCTGGAACGGGCCGTTCTGGCCCCCTTCTAATTCTTATAAATAGAGGCCTCGGGCACAGTTCTCAAGGCAGCCAGAGAAATTTTGAATAAGACTCCTTTGAGCACGAAAATTTTCTATTTCTCTCCCTTCTATTGTATTTTTTGAGATTTTGTCGCATCTCTATCTTCTCTCTCCTTATTGTATCTCTTGAGATTTGTGAGACATACTGTAGTGTGAAAGGTCGCCGCAAAGCACCTTCTCCATATTTGAAGATTCAATAAAGCTCGTTCAAGAGATATTTCAATCAATCTTCTTCTTTTCCTTTTATTTTTCATCTTTATCTTTTTTTGTTATAATAAACGTCATAATGTAGATATTTTAGGGTTAATCGTTTAATTTAAATTTCAAGCATGTAAATAGTCACCAATAAAAAGGGGACTTAGTATTTCTATTATTATTTTTTTTAATTTTAACTTCATCATAGGGTACCAATTAAGGGCGTTGTAGGGGTGTTTAATACCTTCCCCATGTAACCGACCCCCGAACCCAATTCTGGTTATCAAGGCCATTATTGGATCTTTAAAAACCTTTTCTTTTTCTAATGTTTTGAGTAAAACATTGGTGGCGACTCCATGAACTCATTTTTCAAAACCATTAATTAAGGATTAGTCTGATGTCCGGGCATTCCTTAATTGATGAGATTTTCAAAGGATATCTAAACCATTAGTCGCGAGATCAGAAATTTTCAGGTTGCGACAAGTAGTCATTTTCCTTATTCCTTTTTGTGTGACTTGTGTTGTATGGATAAAGCTCATCAACTACCTTTTGTACAATCAACTACTGAATATAAAAGTCCTCTTGAACTTGTTTTTACTGATATTTGGGCCCTTTTCCTGTACCTTCCTCTACTGGTGCTAGATACTACATTATATTTTTAGACGCTTATTCTAGATATTCATGGATTTACCTTTTAGATTCTAAATCTCAAGTTTTTGATGCTTTTGTTCAATTTAAAACCTTTGCTAAACTTCAGCTAGGCATGAAACTTAAAGCTCTTTAGTCGGATAATGCAAAAGAATATATTAAATTTACTAAGTATTTAACAGAACATGGAATTAAACATCAATTTTCCTGTCCCCACACACATGAACAAAACGATAGTCCTGAGAGGAAGCATAGGCACATCGTGGAAACTGGGTTAACTCTTCTTGCCAATGCTTCCTTACCTCTTCATTTTTGGGCAGAAGCCTTTTTAACTACTACTACTCTCATTAACTACTTACCTACTCCTTCATTGAACAACTTGAGTCCTCATCAAACACTTCCTGATTATCATTTTCTTAAGACGTTTAGGTGTGCTTGCTACCCTTTTTTTACTTATAACAATCACAAATTAGAATACATGTCTCACCTATGTCTCTTTCTTGGTTATAGTAATCAACATAAAGGTTATAAATGCTTATCTCCTAATGGTAAATGTTATGTGTCTAGACATGTTAAATTTGATGAGTCTCGTTTTCCATACAAAGAAAATCCTAGCCCTTTTATAGTTCCCTCTGTCTCTGAGTCTGAATGTTCTTTTATTAATCATCCTCTTAATGTTTTGGTTCCTCTTGATGAGACTGGTCAGATTGATAATTGTAATCCTATTAATTCCACTATTACTACCAATGATGATGTGATTATAGACACTAACACTACTGATCCCACTGTTACTATTCCTAGTGCTATTATTGATACAGGAGTCGCTGAGCAAAGTATGATCAATACTCATCCTATGACTACTAGAGCTAAGGTAGGGATTTTTAAGCCTAAAACCTATGTTACTGCAGCTGACATATCAACCTATGATCATACAATTGAGCCCACCGTGAAGGAAGCTCTCTCTAAACCTGAATGGTGTCAAGCTATGAAAGATGAATATGAAGCTTTACTTAAAAATAATACATGGAGTTTAGTTGATCTACCTGTTGGCTGCAAAGCTGTTGGCTGCAGGTGGGTATTCAAGTGTAAATATAATGCATATGGCACTTTTCAAAAGCATAAAGCCCGCCTTGTTGCAAAGGGATTTCATCAAAGAGAAGGTTTTGATTTCACAGATACCTTTAGTCCAGTTGTTAAGCCAACTATAGTCAGAGTTGTTCTTACATTGGCCTTGACTAGGCAATGGCATATACATCAGATTGATATTAATAATGCATTTCTGCATGGGGCTCTTAAAGAGTCTGTTTATATGGCTCAACCTCCAGGTTTTAATACCAAACATAAAGGTAAAGTTTGCAAGCTCAACAAAGCAATTTATGGGCTAAAACAAGCCCTAAGATCCTGGTTTCAGACCTTGAGCAATACTTTGTTCAAAATGGGATTTAAACCAGCTAAGAGTGATACCTCTTTATTGATCAGAATAACACCTCACTTTACATTGTTGTTGCTGATTTATGTTGATGACATTATAGTCACAGGCAATCTCTTCAGAATAACACCTCACTCTAGCACTGGGGCTAAATTTCGAAGTCTGGCAGCGATTATTACTGAGTTACTTTGGTTGCAATCTCTTCTCAGTGAATTAAGGATCCCAACTATAATTCCAAAAATTTATTATGATAATCTTGGTGCGGTATTGCTAGTTGCTAATCCAGTGATGCACTCAAGAATGAAACATTTTAAGTTTGACCTTTATTTTGTCGGGAATAAAGTTATTGAAGGAGCTATCCAAGTTATTCATCTACCTGCATAATTTCATATTGCTGGTATACTTACCAAAGCCATTTCTACTCCTCAGTTTGAAGCATTTTTTAACCAATTCATGGTTACCATAGTAGGCAACATGAACTTGAGAAAGGGTGTAAAAGAAAATAATAAAAAGTCATAAAATCTTATTTTTAATAATTGTAATGGTGTCTATATAAGACACTTTATTCATCTGTTGTATGTTGTTCTATTGAGTATCAATAAAGAAAAACACTTTCTCTGATTTCTCTCCTCCATGGCAAAACTCTAACAAATTTCTTAAAATCATCAAATAACAATATTTTATAAGTTTAAATATATTTTTAATCTTTCAAATTTAAAATTAATCTTTTTAGTCTATAAATTTTTAAAAAAAATATTTTAATTTTTATATTCAATTATTAGAAAATTTGTTAAATACTATCACATAAAACTTACTTACCTGCATTTTTGTTAAAAAAAATATCACATTAAATCTAACTGATATACATAACTATTTTAATCTACTATTTTTAAATATGTTATTAGTGAATTAAAAGTTTAAAATAATTTTTTTAAAATTACAAAGAGTGAAAACAAAAATTTTAAATTTGAATGAAAAATAAATTTTTCCTAAATTTAATGAACTAAAAACATATTTAAGCCTTTCTTATAAACTTAAAAAATATTCATATATTTACAAATTATTAATATCAATTTTAATTATATTATAATTTATTTAGCATAATTTTATATAAAATACTTATCATGTGCATCACAGAAACTTAAATCCTAATTTTCTATGAATTATACCAAGTAAAAGATAAAGTCGCATATACTTTACAATATAATAAAAAAATATTAAAATTAAAATGTCAAGAAAAATATGAACATTCCTCAAGCAGTAAGATTAAGCGGTTGGTAACTTTATTACCAATGAACATTAACATATAAATTAAATTGCTGACCGAAAACCTCACCAAGCTTCACAAAATGTTGACGTGTGATATAATATAAAGCTGGCGATGATGTTCATAATAAATCACTAATTCATGAAGACAGAAGTCATGAATCATACGCCAAAAGCGACTCGCATAAGCTGATGGCACCAAACCAATATACACTTTGACAGCAAAATTTTATTTACAACATAGAATCACTATTCACTAACTAGATTATTAAATGTTATCCAGTCTATTAATACTATGTATAGATAAAAACTTGATGTGAAAATCACAACTGCAATCACAAGTATGTTAAGATTTATCATGAACAAGTGAACTGAGCTACTGCTGAATAAAAACAAGGAAAGCCGAGGAACGCTTCCTTAAAAGCTTGGTAATCATGATCTTAGACTTTATCATCAACACCTGGTTGAAGTAGTCCTGCAAAATCAAAGCTTCTTCGTATCAAAATACGCAAGCAGATTGAACAGTTATAAGCACAAAGGAAACAACTATCAAGATCTCGATTTGGATGAACGTTAAGAGAAGTTCCTGATATCAATTAAATTTCTCATTCCAGTCTCGTACTTATCGATAAACTGAAGTGATCAATTACTAGGCAGAGGAAAAATTGCCCTTGGTTACGTTATTTAGAAAAATATCAAATGAGAAAATTCAAACCTCAACAATGGCCTTCGTTGCAGCTCTAGTTTATCCATACCATCTGGCATGATCGTATCTGAAGCTGACCTGTCTAAACCAATAGACAAAGTTTCTGCAATGTCTTTAAGACCCTGTCCCGGCAAGTGAAAACAGAATAATTGAGCATATTATAAAAAACTAAATTCAAATTGCAGTGGATACCATATCGTATGGATATAAATACGATATTAAAAGCATATTGACATATTATGGCCAAACTCGTTTTTCAGTAGGAAAACAACAGTAGAAAACAAAGCACAAGGTAGAAGAACACCTTCAGATTTGGAGTTCCTTTATATGTGAGCAAATTGGGGGACTTCCCTGGAAGTTTCTGTTTCTCCAGCTGAATATTTACTAATTAACATCAGATCATTATCTCAACAGGAAAGTACAAAAAGATATAATAACCAGAGCCACCCGAAGAATTAGAAGAGCTGAATAAAGTGCCAGTACTGTAATTTTAAAGTCGGCTCTCTAAATATAACCTGTTCAAGCTAATCTAGGTCTCTGACTGTCACTTTAACACTCAACAGATAAGAGGGTGATAATCCAGCCTCTAGAACATATATAATTTTGTATATTTAGCAGTAACAGGTAATTTGAGAGTGACTAACAGCAAAAGAGAATATAATTATAACAGACATTGAAGAAAAAACTCCAACCTGCAAACTTTCAGGCATTTTCCGTGCTTTTCCATGTACAAAGTCGATGAGATATGCCAATCCATGATTTGCATAATCCTGCAGCCACACTACTAAATCAATATTTTCTTTTGGCACATCAACAGAAGTAACCATTTTCATTCCAAGATCTTACATGCATACCAAATCATTCTAGCAATTCGTTTTTTACTCTCATCAAGAGATGTTCCATATAAAAGAAACAACATGGTCTATGACAATGACATATTCCTATTTCAAGAACAGGAAAAAGCTTTACCTGCTTATAACTCAAGGTAGCCAGCCTTTCATCCTGCAAAGGCATAATTATACAACATAAGAAATTAAGAATGAATCAAATAAATGAGATGGTAAACACAAGCATATGTGTGTGCATGAGCACTCACATATAGGAGCAAATAAAACTAACCAATGTTGAGGAAACATAAACATCATATTTACATTGTTACAAATTGATAGATATTTTCATTCCAATGAAAATTAAGTAATCAAGCCAAACTTTGATAACAATTAACTAGCCACTGCATGAAAACAATCATATTACATACCAATGTTTCCACCGTTTGTTGCAAGAGACCCAAGTCATCATGAAAATTAGTGATAGTACTTCGAACCCCAGAAACCTGTGAATGTTGTATAACAATTAAACACAGATTTGATTTCTTCCCATAATTGTAAAAAAAGAATAAAAGGTGATCAATTGTAAAGATACAGTAGCTGGTCTTCTGAATAATATAAAATTTTTAATTTAAAAACAATTATGTTGGATATTCTACTGCCATGAACAGAAACCAAAACATAGTGCTCCCACAGTAAGACGTATAAGGGAAGATGTATGGAGCTTATCTAACATTATAATTGATATTCCATTATAATAGAGACTCGAGCATTGTAAAGTATTTAGTGTAATGACTAAGTATATATCACAACATGACAGGACATGACAGGCATGTAAACCACTTCATCACTGATCAGGATGAGATCAAGACAGCCCAATGGAGAATTTTGATGTCTTATTACCACATAATATTCACTAACATAGATATCCATCAATACTTTTGAGTTTAAAAATCAATTACATCTAAATGAATGTTGGTTAAGTTGTCTGATAAGAATTCACTAGTACAAACCAGTACATATGCTAAATAGAAAAATAGTGCAAGAACAGGTGCAAGTATAGAATTTGTAGGTGTCAAAAACCATACCTCATCCTTAATTGACCGTGCCAACTCATTCTGCTTGAGCATTTTGTCATCTAAATTCTGAATTCTCTGGGTCAAATGCTTCTTGGCATCCTACCATCAAAAGAATTGAGTAAAAAACTTGGTATTATGTCATATACAAATTAATTTTCATGTTAAATGTTTCAAACATGAACATATTTGGACAAAATGTGAGTTGTTGTAGCACACATCTCCCCCCTTACCAAAGACAACAGATGCCTTGGACTCTGTTAAAATGTGTTGGTTTACTTTATTGGCACACATGCAAGAGAGGGGGGGGGGGGGGGAGAGTTCTATTAAAAATTAAATTACACTGATTCTTTATTACATACAGAAGCAGTTTAATACATTGTTGGCAAAACATTTTTGTGATGGGAAAGACCATTTCTTTTAATTATCCAATGTTAACAACAGTATGTAAGCTACTCTTTTCATTTTCTCTTCCTAATACTAAAAGAGTTCCCCACCAATAGGTCCTGGAGTAAATTGTTAAGGTCATGGTTTAGAAACTACTGCCTCCTGATCACTGCTTAACGAATAAAATCTGGCCAGAACAGATTAAGCTGTTTATTCATGGATTTGGGAGTCCTATATAGTTTTGCAGAGGTTGTTTAAAGCCCAACACTGTGACTGGCTCACGGCAGCTTATAATATGTCTTGACCTCCTTTTGAGTTTAGAAGCATTAAATTTATTAAATTTATATTTGACTCTTGAACAGTATTTTCTACTCCAACCCTACACAAGTCATCCTGTAATACAAATCAAGACACAACTAATACTTTTTGCCAATAGATAGAGAACTCAAAACGAAACACCAAGCTTGTGAGTTGTGAATCATATTAATGAGTGATGCAAAATATTTTAACCACTAGGGTGAATTAATATCAAATTCTACATTAAGGGGGCCTCATAGCTTTCAACTACACAAAGTATGCAGAGCCTAACAAACATAGTTACATAAAGATATAAAAAGAAAATCCCAAACAGTAAATGGACACCTACAGCAATGACATCTGAGGCATGCTGCAACTTTTTTGTTAAATCTGCAACAGCTTTTTCCATATTCCGTTTAGTCACATACATAAGATCTGAGAATGAAATACCCTGATATTGGAAAGGAAAAAACAGCAATCAGAATAACAATCCGTTTTAAAGAATTATGGGGTGATAACGATTTGCTACATTTAAATAAGGGAAAACTTAGAAGAAAAATCTGGTAAAAGATAAATACAATACAATGTCAACCATAAACCAATGAAACTATTCAAAGAAAACAGGAAAGCAGTTCCACACCTTCCACCACATGTAACCATAACCCAAAGCACCCACAGCAGCAGCTGGAACGACAAGGGATGAAAAATTACCTGTTCAAAAGGACAAACATTTAGAAAATCAAAGCATGGGGCAGACAAAATATAAAATTGCTCTACGCCAACACCACTCATCAACCAGTTGACAGCCTATGCATGAAATGCAGATAAACATGAAAAGTAAAACAAGGCATCTTAAGCAGCAGCTACATTAGATGGTATAATAGGTTATATTACTTTGTCCAGAACCCCCATTCAGTACTGTGATTGGCCTGCTTGATGATAACTGCCGAACTTCATTTGCTAAACGGCGCACCTATAGCAAAGGCAAGCAATAGTTTCGTGACAACCAAATTCAACCACTTCTCCGTGTTCATTTGGTAAACAAAAGACACCAAAACATATTCAACCAGTTCGTTACCTGAGCAGCTATGGCATCAGCATATTCACTTTCACCTTCAGCCTGATCCCCAGATTTTTCCAATCCCTTCACAAGCAACTACAACCCCAAAAATAGTAAAATTAAACATCATCAGTAAATTTATAGAAAAAGTAATATCGAGAGTAACAAATAGAATGCAATAACCAAGCTTCTGAATCCAATAATTAGTCCTAGAAACCAAAAAAGAAAAAAAGAAAAAAAAACTTAATTTACGAGGACTACAGAAAACAAACGCTGACCACTGTATTTAGCTTTAGCTTAAGACAACCATTCCAAAATTGTGGGAACCAAAGGCGTTTTACGGTCACAACCACTGACAATCACATGAAGTTAAAAAACGAATATTCCGAAACCCTAACATCGGTTAAAACCGAATCTTACAAAACTGAATCATCTCCGACTCGCACAAACCACTATTCGTTTATTTATACAGAACCTCCTCGACTCTAACAACACCATTCCCGAAAAAAAAAAAAAAAAAGGAAAAGAAAAGCAATTATAGAAATTTGGCACGCGGATTTCAAAAATTTAAGCTAAGAGATAATAGTAGTAAAGCGTTGGAACGCATAGGAAAGTGAAATTGGAAAAACCTGAAGGTCGCCGATCAAATCGGACAATTTTCCGTTTTTGATGAGGACGGTGCCGGTGTAACCTGAAGGAAGAGAGTGCACGAAATAAGTGATGAAAGTAGTTACTGATATTCGATTGTGTGTGTGTGTGAGAGAAAGAGAGAAAGAGAGAGAGGTACCTGCTCCAGCTATGATGAGGATCTTGGAGATTCCGATTCCGCTTTGCATAGCCATAGCCATGGCTGTGGAAAGAATGAGAATGAGAGTTGATGCGCTCTGTGCGACTCTTAAATGCTTTGACTACTCATCCCACACGAGAACGGGGAAGGGGGAACCGCCTCCTCAAACGACTTCGTTTTGCCTCCTCCTACTATCCCTGTCTCACGACGGCTAATTTACCCATCAGCAAATTAAATTTTTATTTATTTAATAATGTAAACAAATAAACCTATTTTTAAATCGTGTTATTATCGCAAAAAATATTCATTAATTTAACTATTATAACCTTCTTTTCAAACATTCCAACTACGTATAATTGTTTATTTAATTTATTTTTTTATATAATATCTAATTCATATTATCTCATATATTAATTATTTTTAAACTAAAATATTTTTAATTCATTTGTGTTTTTTAAATTTAGTAAAATATATTAATTATAATTTTTTTTAAAAATGTCATAATTGGTTTAAAAAAATATAAATATTAATTAAAAAAGATAAGTAGTATAAGAATAATTTTAAAAAAAATTATAAATAAAACAATTTTATTATTATAAATTAAATTAATTATTTTTTTAATCTTGATAAGTTAGATAATTAGGTCTTTTATATAAGAATAAATGAAATATAAAATATGAAAAAAAAATTAATATATTTTTAGTCTTTATAAAATGAGTGAATTTTGATTTTAATTTTTATAATTTTAATTTTTATTTCATTTTCATCTTTATAAAATTTAAAGTAATTAATTTTGATCCTAATGATCAAGTGAAATAATATATAATTATAAAAAAGGTTAAAAAAACAAATCATACAATTAAAAAAAAAGTAAAATAATCTTAAATAAGATATCAAAGATTACAAAATAAAAAGATAGTTATTATTGATAGAGTGGATAATTAATTTTGTTTTATACATTTTGTTTCCTCTATTTTACCTTAAGAGAAAATTTTGTATATGAAATATTTTTACATTCTTAAAATCTTAAAGTAGAAATCTTAATTTTTTATGTTTAGTTTTTATTTCACAATAAGAAATTTCTTTTTTTTAAGGGAAAAATAAGAAATTTTTAATAACTATTTTTATCTTACTTTTAAAAAAAAAATCTTATAAGAAGGGTGAGAATCCAACTTTTTCGAATTAGGAAAAAATTATGATATCCTTTTTTTTTTAAAAAAAAATCTCTTTCTCTCCCATTTTCACTCCCCCTTTCTTTTCCTTTCTCCCTCTCTACCTCTATCTCTGTCTCTCTCTACACCTCTCCTTCTTTCTCCTGTTTCTCTTTCTTCCTCTCTTTCTCACTCCTCATTTCTTCCTCTCTCCTTCTTCCTTTCATTTCTCTCTCTTATGTCAATTTTAATAATATTATTAAAGCATATTTTATTCCTATATTAATGATATTTGTTAATACTCTTTTTTTTATAATTTGAATGAAATAAAATAATATATTTTTATTTTTCTAAATTACAATGTAGCATTTTTTTATTGAATTTTATATTTAAATAATTTTAATAAGATATGAGTAAATATATATATATATATATAATAATGAGTTTCTTTTAATAAAGGATATTTTTGTAAAAAAATATTTATAAACATAGGAATATACTATTGTAACAAAATATTAAAAATTTTAATTAATAAGAATCATGTATGGATATTTTTAAAAACTTTTATGAGTAATTAAACATATAATAATAAAGGGGTATAAATATATGTAGAGAGAATAAATCAAATGCTTCCAAAAATAACTATTAGTAAAGTTACTCAACTTAATAACTCATGTTGAAAAAAAATTTCTAAAAATACTTTCACACAAGATAAAGATTCGTGTTTAATAAACAAATTTAAATAGAGTTTTCAATAATTAGTTTTTAATGATTTTTAAATTTTTTTTTACCTATTCTAACATGTATTTATCATATATATTTTCAAGATAAATTTAATAATTTTTTTAAAAATATCATTAATTTTAAATTTAATTACCAATAGCAGAAAACGTTGTATTTTTTTTTTGGTAGAGTGAGAAATTTAAAAAACAAATACCAAAAGGAAAGTAAGAATAGCCAAGGGGTGAACACCCACATCTTACTGCCTCAAGAACAAATGCAAGAGGCTTAGAAAACGTTGTATTAGAAGATAAAACCAACAATACAAGGTTAGAAAATGAATCCCCATTTTTTAAAATTTATGACTTATTACCCATTTTTCAATATGCTAAGACCTGCACCAACAAAGAAAATGAGTAACTGCTATATAATTTGCGAGCTGTGCCTGTGCTGTGTTGCATCGATATGGTACGAAAACGGGTACAGTATACGTGTTTTTTATTTTTAAAAACTTTATGGTACCTTACGGGTAACTTAATGTAATTTTACAAATATTTTTTTAATTATATAAATCTAAATAAACTGTATAAACAATAAAAAAAATCACAAATAAACAAAATACTTATCACTTGAATTATAATATTAAGAATAAAAATCATAACAGTTGAAACATGATTATAATAATGTACATGAACTATGATACACACTTTAAATGTGATATATATCACATTTTAACAATTTCAAATTTCTATCTCATCTTTGTCTATCATATGTAAAAAGAATTGTTTCTAACACTAGTTCATTGAGAGAAAATTCAATAGATCTTATTTATCTTTATTCAATATTATGTATTTTGTTTTCACCCTTTATATTACACTTGCTCTTTCTTGAGAGGAGACATAGATTTTTATGTATAAAATGTAAATTTTCAACTCTTTTTATTATATATATATATATAATGGGCAAAAGAATATGTTTCAAATTCTTTCACAATAAAAAAAAATGATAATTTTGACTAAAATTTCAATACAACATATTGAAATATTGAAATTTGGGGATTATTGCACTATACTTGACCTACCAATCCTTTGATTTTATTTTTTAAATTATTTTTTGAGATATATAAATTTTATTTTTTGGACTTAGATATATGAAACCAAAAAGTATCCACATATATCCAAATTAAATAATTATTTTATTTTAAAAAAAAATATATGTTCTAGGAGCATACCAAATAGTAATCCCCCAACATGTACCAAATACAGATACTTCCTCAATACATATATGACATGAATTTTGGAGTTGTCATGATTTAGAATTTGCAAAAAAAAAAATAATGTCTTAGCCAAATCATAAAATGTGTATTTATATAATCAGTAACGTGCATTCCAAAATAACGAAACAGAAAAATATGAGTTTTAATGGATTAAAATGAATCCACATTTACCTGCTCCAGACAGAAAAACAAAAACACTAAAAATCTTTATAAAGCAATGAAGTTGTTTTCTATTCCTAACTTCCTTGATACCGATGGTAACATCCTTCATCCTTCTCCTCTAAGAAGAGGAGTCTTTAAACTAATGAGTAAAGATAAACCTGAAATTGGTGTCATGAGTTTCACAATCAAATCATCTGTAACCATAAATATTGCTGGACCCTTGACATAACCTTTAAGACTACTGCACTGCATATAGATGACTTGAGATCCACTAAAATTCCATTGTACGACCTAAACTCATAGTTATTAGTTCTATTCGATCGATCACTATACTTGTTTTCTATAAAACCTCTACGTTGATAATAAGCATGTTATTCATATATTGGTAACATCTGCTTGCTCAATTTTAACTGTGGGGCAATGCGAGGATCAATTACTCTTTCCCTCACTTCCTTTGGTACCAAATATTTGTCTTCACTGAAATCAACTATGCTCTTTTGTATAATTCATCAATGCTACCTGCGGAAAAGTACTCTCCCAATATGCGCACTACTCTTCCCAAAGGGAGAGAGAAAACTAAAAAGGAAGTCCACAAAATCTTCTTCCTATTGAGCAAATAATTTACTATCTGATTTTCTCATAACCAGTTTCACTTTGATTTGAATAGTACTACTGATCTCAACAACAGGTGGAGAAAAACTTAGATTTTGGCAGCAATGATTTCTTTACTCGGAACAAATCCGGCAGAGTTGACTTGGCCAACAAAGAACACTTTAACAGATCCAATACCTGCACAAAAAAATAGTCAATAAAAAAATGTTATGTAGGGGAATTAATTAATCAATGAATTAAAAATGAAAAACTCACAAGTGATACACGTATAAAGTAAGAAAGGACATGTTTGGGTAAAAACTAAACATGAGTACTTTTGAAAGATAAAAATAAAAAGAAAAATGAATATAAGTTTCTTCATGAATTAAAATTAGTTCATGTATTAACTAATCTGAAAAAGTTCCAAGTGGTTGTGTTTGTTCTTGGTTTTCAATAATGTTTCGTAGTTTCTTCCAATGGATCAGTGTATCTGCAAGAGAATAAGTACTATTTGCTTTTGACTAGTTCATTTACTTCAGTAATTTTCAGTTCTGAGCCCCTTTTCCTTGCCCATTTTAGTTTACGCAGATGGAAGCATATGCTTGGACATTTTACAAAATCAATGGAGCCCAATTTATGATGTAGCTGCAATACTTACCTCAATTCAGGTCCTAGTTATCCTCTATCTTTTGACATTGCTTTAAGACTATTAATGTTGGCATTGAATTTATGCTTCTGTGAAGTTATGAAAGAGCTCATATGGCATTATTTTTTATAACTGTTATTGGTATGGAGTATCAACCAATCTAAAAAGTCTTCTGTTGTAACCATATTTTTTTATCACAAAATTTGTATTCGATACCTTGCTTAAAAGGACCTAGTCAAGTACTACTTGGATCAACGTAATTAGTGTATCATAGGTAGATTCATGTGCAATTGTTAAACCAAATCTGTCTCTGAACAATACAATTATCTATCAGTTTAGATCTTGCAGTCATTTATTCTTTCCATTTCATCTTTTTCTTCAACTAGTTAAGAATCTACGAAGTGCTAATTCAATAGCAACCAACTTCATTGTTTTGTAATCTCAGATTTTTTCCTTCTTAAATAGAAAACCATAAGAATTTATTGTAATCATTTTAATTCCATCACTCAACAAATTAGTAAGCATTTTGATAGAATGCATTTTTTGTGCATTGTTCTGAATATTTTCTGTTCACATGAAACTGGATTTCCTATTGCAGTCGTTGCTTTGCGACCCAAATCCTAACTCTCCAGCGAATTCAGAAGCGGCTCGGATGTTTAGTGAAAACAAATGTGAATACAACAGAAGAGTAAGAGAGATTGTTGAGCAGAGTTGGACTGCTGATTAAGTATCTTGGTGTTGCTGTTAAAAGGTTTTCAAAGGATCTGATTGAATAACCATTTAAGTACTTTAAAAACATTTGTGTCTTGTAACCCTTGACAATGTGTTTGTTCAAACTTATATGAATGGACTTATGATCTCTATGTTGAGCTGAATCATGTTTTGTTCAACTCATTTTGTTTCATCATTATAACATTATAAATTCGTTAATAGCTATGTTGCACAAATATGACATAGAACTGTCATCTTCTCGAGTTTGACATCTTTTTAGAGCGGACACATTATAGATATGCTTCGAAAATTTTGATGGACTGTGTCCACACAAATTGGGTACATCTCCATCACGGGCACACGTAAATGATCACGGACACATATAAATAAAAATAACACGTAAATGATCACAGCCACATGTAAATATAAAAAAAATTAATAAAGGGAGGATTTGAGATATAGAAAACATTGTTGTGAAATATAATGTCTCTTAACAATTTATTTTTGAGACTAAGTTATTATCATATTAATGTATAATTTTTTTTTCATGTTATGTATATTATATATTATATATATGTCATGTCTATATGTTTTATATTTTTTTTTTTTTTATTTTGCCATATCCTCATATCCATGTTCGTGTTGTGTATCCATGTCGTGTTTGAATTCATGTTACATATTTAGCAAACAATGTTGGACCTATGATCCAAACAAAAGTTATTTCCCGAAAGTTTCAAGGAAGGGGAACAAGGAATTGATTGGTAGAACCAAAATATGAAAACTTGATAGATACTTGAATAATAATAGCAATATAGACAAAAGCTGGCATTTTAAGAAAACTAAATATATTTACAATATATCTTTAGGCTTTGTTTGTTTACAGTTTCCAAAAGCAGATTTCATTTTCCAAAGTTTTTTTGTTTCCTCAACACATTTGAAAGTGATTGTCCTAAAATTCATTTTTGTTTTTTTATAAACAACTGTTTTAATTTTAATTTATGGTGTAATAAATAAAAAAATATTTAATGGATATGTGATTCCAGGTTTAACATATTACCACATAAAATCAAAGTCTCAATACTCCATCATTCTGGTTAGTTCAAATAAGAAAAAAATGAAAGTTTAAAGCCTAACCCTTTTACTCAACATCAACAAGAAGGAAAGAAAAACTTTTTTTTTTTGTGGAGCTCACTACTAAATGTAATTTGTGTCATTATGGGCAAAAAGAGAGAAACACTAGTGTTATTTTATACCGTGACAAAATTATATCCATGAATATGTGCAAAGTGCAATTATAAATACCCTTAACAATACCACTAGGATGGGTGTAATAATAAAAGTTAGAGAAGTATGTACAGGAATTTTGATAAATAGAAAAATAAATAAATGCCCTTAGCACGAGTAAATTTTTTTATAAAGAGAAAACTTGAGTCAATTTCTTCACTTACTTTTCATTTCAATATTTTTCAAAAACCAAACAATCGAAAAATCATCTTACTTTCTTGCTTTTCATTTTCTCTCTACCCTCTTCTCTCTTCTCTCTCTCCCCTTTTACTTCTTATTCCAAACAGAGAAGAAGATTAATGTAATTTGGGTGAAAAAAAAGTATTACATTGAAAACCAAGAGAAAGAACACATTTCTCTCCTCTTTAATTTCTTTCCTCCCACTTTTTTTTCTCACTTATTCACTTATTCCTTTGATGTCTCATTTCGTATTTAAAAATAACGCATTAACAAATTAAAATAATTAGCATTAAAGAGAACGAATATTTTTAACAAATTATTTAATCGCGTGTTGATTTTTAACCAAAAATAAGAAACAAAACCAATTAAAATGGAGGCAGCAAATGTAATATAAATAGGCTACTTGCTACATGCATTAAATTTAATACACTAGATTATAGATCATTGTTATAAAATGCACCATAGTATCTTGTAAAAAAAAAATGCACGATAGAGAACAAAGATGTGAACCCTAAAAAAACTTAGCCGTCGTCCTTGTAGACGCCCAATTATGTCTAGGGATATATAAATAAAGAAATGGACGTCTATTATTAAGGAATGGAACTCCCAAAGCAGGAAAATAACAAGACAGGACATCAGAGGGCCGAAAGTCCAAAACAACTAATTTTAGTGGCCCAGAACGGGCTGTTCCAAAACCGAAACGGGACGTTTCCAAATCTGGAACGAGTCGTTCCTAAATTGGAACGGGCCATTTTGAGCCACCTAAAAGGCTTAAAGACTCTTGGTTGGAACAGGTCGTTCCAGACCAGAATGGGCCGTTCCAAACCAATCAAAAGGCATAAAAAAACTTGGTCTAGAATGGGTCGTTCCTAAACCAGAACGGGCCGTTCCAAACTATTAAAAAGGCCTAAAAACCTAGTTTGGAATGGGTCGTTCTAAGCAAGGGAATATAGTGTTAATCTCAACTCTAGAACAGGCCGTTCTCAGTTCAGAACGGACCGTTCCCAGGTGCGTGATTAACACACAACGTTCGGATCTAGAACGGGTCATTCCGATTCCGGAACGGGCCGTTCTGACCCATTCTGATGCCTATAAATAGTTGCCGGGCCATTTCAGCATTTCCTTTTTTCTCCTATCTGTTTCATGGAATTTCATGTTACATTTTTTGGTCATAACAAGTGTTGATTTGCTCTTGCAGTTAATTTTTTTATGAATATTTTGTTTACCTGCAAGATAATCCTTCAATGTCACGTTTGTGACACGCTCAATTCTCAAATACAATGAATATTGTGCTTATAATTTGGGGACGGTCCTCATGAGTAATGACAGAGTGTCCAAGAACACTCACCAAATTTCTGTGCCTTAAATAGGGTAATACCTTCAAGCTCTGAATACTGTTTTTGTACAAACTCTTCTGCTTTAGTTTTACACAATTTGTACAAACTAGTTTTAAAGTTGATAATAGAGATTCAAAACTAGTTCTCAATAATGTCAATAATCACATAAAGGAAGAAATGTCCCTAACAAGTTCGTTTATATAAATATGGATCAAAGTGAAATATATATTAATCTCTCAAAGAGAGAAATGCAGTATAATTTAAACACACATCAAGATATGAGAAGTTAATTTATAATAACAATAATAATAATGTCCTTACTTGCATTAATATTTGATGTTGGATATGCAGGGACAGAAAATTTATCATCAGCAGAGATGTCTTGGTTATAATTGCTGTCTGCTTTTTCTGCTTTGGACTTCTTGAAGATGCACAAAATGAAAAGAACCAGAAACCCTGCAGTTCCCACAATACCTCCAACAATACCAAGTATTAGGCCTAGTTGCATCTCTGACTCCTTCTGCTGGCTTCTATGTGGTGGTTTAACAGCTAAAGCCTCCACTTTCTTGCAATATGAGGATGGATGTTGACCATTTAACCTTCTAGTTGTCAAACAATTCCCGGCATAAAGTGTTGTTCGATTTGAACCCTTTGAACTAATACATGATGGCAATTTTCCCACCAAGAGGTTGTGTGAGATATCAACAAATGCCAAAGAAGAACTACATGATACATTCACAGAAAGGGAGCCACTTAATTGGTTTGCAGCCAAGTTTAGGTACTTGAGGAAAGGAAGAGAGAAAATAAATGATGGGATATTTCCAAATATCACATTGGAAGAGATGTCAAGTAGCTGAAGTTTATAAACTTGCATGAGCTGTGGAGGAATTCTACATCTCAAAGAGTTGTCTCTCAAGATAACCCTCACAATATTCTTGCTCAGTGAAGGGAATCCAGGACCCAATTTGTTGCCACCTAAGTTGATCTCTTCAAGAGAAGCCAGTCTCCCAAGATCAGGCACACTCCCATTGAAAAGATTTTCAGCCAAAACAAGACTCCTGATGCTTCTCAAAGAGGAAATTGATGATGAGATTTCCCCATAGATGAAGTTTGAGCTAATATTGAGCACTTCAAGGAACCAGAACCTGTCAATCTTGGATGGCAAAGGACCCCACAACCCAAGTGACACCAATGACAACACCTTCAGATTTGAAAGCTTTGTCAAGACAGTAAAGAAAGACTCAATGGAGAATCTTTCTGAGAGAGTCTCAGATGAATTCCAAGACACAAGCTGAGTTTTGTGAGGAGAATGAGAAGTCTTGTTCCCAATGATGGTTAACTCGGTTACATGGCCATTAGAGCACATAAATCTTGAGAGACGGTGAGGGAGGGAGGGAGCAGAAGTTGTTCATGTTGTTCCATCCTTGAAGAGCTTGAGGATATCCAAGAAGCTTCTGAACTTGGAGAAGGATTCTGTTCTCACTTGTCGTTAACTGTGCACTGGGAATTGGAGTAAGCAGCACAAGAATGATTGCAGGAAACAAGTAATACAAAGAAACCAAGAAAACCTTCATTTTCTGAGGATCAGACACCTGTGTAGCAAGACAAAGAATGGTGCTAAGTGTCTCAGAAAGAACAGAATATAACTCTATTGCAGAGTTGAAGCTAAAAAAATCGAAATATGCCACCTAGAAGATAACAGTAATAGCAGCAGTTATTGCTCAAAAGATTAATTATATGCATAATCCTGCAGCCACACTACTAAATCAATATTTTCTTTTGGCACATCAACAGGAGTAACCATTTTCATTCCAAGATCTTACATGCATACCAAATCATTCTAGCAATTCGTTTTTTACTCTCATCAAGAGATGTTCCATATAAAAGAAACAACATGGTCTATGACAATGACATATTCCTATTTCAAATTTGACAAGAACAGGAAAAAGCATTACCTGTTTATAACTCAAGGTAGCCAGCCTTTCATCCTGCAAAGGCATAATTATACAACATAAGAAATTAAGAATGAATCAAATAAATGAGATGGTAAACACAAGCATATGTGTGTGCATGAGCACTCACATATAGGAACAAATAAAACTAACCAATGTTGAGGAAACATAAACATCATATTTACATTGTTACAAATTGATAGATATTTTCATTCCAATGAAAATTAAGTAATCAAGCCAAACTTTGATAACAATTAACTAGCCACTGCATGAAAACAATCATATTACATACCAATGTTTCCACCGTTTGTTGCAAGAGACCCAAGTCATCATGAAAATTAGTGATAGTACTTCGAACCCCAAAAACCTGTGAATGTTGTATAACAATTAAACACAGATTTGATTTCTTCCCATAAATGTAAAAAAAGAATAAAAGGTGATCAATTGTAAAGATACAGTAGCTGGTCTTCTGCATAATATAAAATTTTTAATTTAAAAACAATTATGTTGGATATTCTACTGCCATGAACAGAAACCAAAACATAGTGCTCCCACAGTAAGACGTATAAGGGAAGATGTATGGAGCTTATCTAACATTATAATTGATATTCCATTATAATAGAGACTCGAGCATTGTAAAGTATTTAGTGTAATGACTAAGTATATATCACAACATGACAGGACATGACAGGCATGTAAACCACTTCATCACTGATCAGGATGAGATCAAGACAGCCCAATGGAGAATTTTGATGTCTTACTACCACATAATATTCACTAACATAGATATCCATCAATACTTTTGAGTTTAAAAATCATTTACATCTAAATGAATGTTGGTTAAGTTGTCTGATAAGAATTCACTAGTACACACCAGTACATATGCTAAATAGAAAAATAGTGCAAGAACAGGTGCAAGTATAGAATTTGTAGGTGTCAAAAACCATACCTCATCCTTAATTGACCGTCCCAACTCATTCTGCTTGAGCATTTTGTCATCTAAATTCTGAATTCTCTGGGTCAAATGCTTCTTGGCATCCTACCATCAAAAGAATTGAGAGGAAATTGAGTAAAAAACTTGGTATTATGTCTCTTTATCTCCCATATAGTTGTCCACATAGCCCATACAGCATATTGTCCAAAATATAGGTCTCTCATTTTCCAAAAAAAGAAAATGATGAAAATTTAAACTGCAGCAAAGAAGACCATATGCTTGTCAAAACTGCAGATTTGTTTGAACTACAAAGATATGATGACCAAATCATGGTAAAAGAAAAAGAGGGTAAGAACAAAGAAGGGAAATGGCACAAGGAAGGGGCATAAAATAGGAACATTAAACCAAAAATGTTACAGACGGGTCAAAAACATCATTATAGAGTCCTCCTAATTCTGAGTCTTTATAGAATTCACACTGGTAGGTGGAAGTTGAAGCCAAACAAGAAATGCATACTTCAGGTGATAATACACAGGACACCTGCACAAATAATTAAAATTACAAGGGATTTAGTTCATTGAATCTGCAATAACTAATAATCCAGATAAAAGAAATACTAACAGCCATAAAAACAACAAAAAAAGGGAGATGGAATCTTGTTAAGTAGAAGATAGTAAACTTTATCATATAGAGAAGAAAAAGAAAGGTAGCACTTTGAAAATCAAAGGGGCCTACAGGCCCCATACAACTAACTAAAATGGATTAGGATGTGAACAGACAATACCAAGAAATAAACTTGATGGTGAATACTTCAATGATACTGAACAAACTATAGGCTGAAAAAGTAAAAAAAAAAAATGCAGAAAAAAAATCATAATGAAAATAATACAATAATATGATTTATGTTTATACATGGTAATGCAAAGAGATTGAAAATATGTGGGGGGAAGCATGTCAAAAACAGTGCTGTCAAACTTGCGTGGATCATTTGATCCACAATTCAACAAGTTTTTTTCCTCCTTCACAAGTCATGAGTCAAGCTGGATGACCAATGCAGGTGGAGTGGTTCAGATCATCATCTAAGGCATTTCATCATTGGAGTGGTGTGCAGAAACACACCATGGGTGCAAATTGGGTAGGTCAGGTCACACAACCCAGTGTAAAAAAGAAATCTGTATATTTTGTGCCCTAATTGCTGTGCCTATGACCTAAGTCATAGTCAGACTCATTATCAATCCAAGAGAATTCCTAATAGAAAATTCAAGAATCGGTCAGTGTTAATTGCCACACTTTTGCAGCATGCCTTGTGATTATATTTAGTAATTTGATCCAACAGAGAAAAAAAGGCGGAGGGGCATAATATATAGTACTAGAAGGATTTCAAAGGTGTGATGCTGATAAACACTAGCCTAATACTCCATTATATGTAAGTATTTAATTTAAAGTCAATATAATAATAGTATTACTACTGCAAGCATAACCCAACAACACTCTCAACATGTGCATAAACTCAGTAGCTGAAAGAGAGGAGAAGAGTAAGGTGCAGTGTAACTGTAATTCTAACAGCAATCACTCAAAAGCAGTGCCAAAGTAACATGTATATATAATTGTATAAAATCAAGAAATAAAGAAATGTAATTGCCATTATCAATCCATTTATAAAAGTGCTAGTACAAAACTTGCAGCAAGATAACACTTGCTGCTCTATCATATGATGGTTGTCAAGGACAAAATGTCAACGGGTAATTAAAAATTACAGCAGCAGTATATCTGAAACTTTTCAAAAAAATGCCTGTATATCTGAAATCTGTCATACAATGCCAGAGTTAAACACATGTAGATCCAGTAAGGTATTGTAATGCCCCTTCTCAATTTCCTCATCTTTTACTCGATGAAGAACAAGGGTCTCAATAATCAAGTCTTCCCAATCAACATCATCAACAACCGTTCCTTTTCTCTTCTTCCTTTTTCTTTCAGGACAAGAGCTATCTAAAATCTCAGTATCACCCCCATCAGCATCTAACGGATGCATGATTCTTTTTATCCGCACCTTAGCAGCGTTGATCCTCTCCTGCCTCATTTTACATTTCAATTGACCAGCAACAAATGATGGCGGCAAGGTATCCACTCCAACATCTTTCTCCAGCAAATGTCTAAGCAGAAGCTTTTTGCTCAATTCTGATTTTCCATCCCACCATTCCCTTATCAACTAGTAATATAAGAAAA